AAGTCTGGTAGTGACATGGAGTCACGTGCCAAAGCAGTATTTTCAAGGAAAGCCTCTTGGATACAACGTTGTTTATTACCCGGTTGATTTAAAAAGTGATTTCAAGTTTGTGAGCGTTAACTACACGACAAACACTACAACCCTTACGGATCTGGCCGTGTACACCATCTACGTAGTTAATGTGTCAGCAGTGAGTTCTGGAGGGATGGGGCCTGCAAAGATGGCGATGACTCGAACGGACGCAGAAGGTAATCAAGTCTTCAAGAAAGCGTCAAACTAAAAATCCACTGCCAATGAAGAAATCCAATGCAGTTTTAAGGAAATTTCAGCAAGGGTTTGATCACAAATATGTGATAATCCTACAAGTGCTATTCTATTGCAATAGTGTGGTTGCAACAATTTACTTCTGTTAACCTGAACAAGCAATTTGCCTTGCTATAAAGATCAGCTTTAATATGGTCAATACACTCTCTTACCTTATCTTTCTACTCTCCACCAGCTCCTTCTCAAACTCCTGCCTTGGTAACCGCGTAAGACACAACCTCCACAAGTCTGGCGGTGACATGGAGTCTGTTTCAAGGAAAGCTAAACAAGATTTCGGGCACGAATAGCTTATGACTGAACTCAAAAGTGCAGTTGTATTAGTTGCAATCGTGTCATCGGTTTGCTTTGATAAAATATGCTCAACTAATAAGGTCAACACTCTCGTATCTCTACAGTAACTTGCAACCTTCTTTCACTCTACAGCTCCATCTCAAGCACCTGACTTGGTAACCGCGTACACCACAAGCTCCACAAGTCTGGTGGTGACATGGAGTCACGTGCCAAAGCAGTATTTTCAAGGAAAACCTATTGGATACAACATTACGTATTACCCAGTTGATTTAGAGAGTGAAATAAGGTTTGCCAGTGTGAACTACACGACAAACACTACAACCCTTACGGAGCTAAATGTTTATACCAAGTATGCCATTAACGTGTCAGCAGTGAGTTCTGGAGGACTGGGGCCGGCAAATATGACAATGGCTCGAACAAGCTCAGAAGGTAAGGGAGTCTTAAATATATTGTTAAACTTAAGATTCAATGCCAATGACGAATTAAATGTGGTTTGAAGGAAAGCTCTACAAGAGTCTGGTTACAAATGGCTTATGACTGAGCTTAAGAGTGCAATTGTATCAGTTGCAACCATGAGGTCGCTTTACTTTTTAATAAATTAGCTTAATGAGCTCAATACACTCTCCTACCTCTACCTCTACAATTACGTTCAACTTCTTTTCACTCCACAGCTCCATCTCGAGCTCCTGACCTTGTGGCCGCTCATAATACAAGCTCCACAAGTCTGGTAGTGACATGGAGTCACGTGCCAAAACAGTATTATCATGGAAAGGTCATTGGATACAACATTATTTATTACCCAGTTGATTTAGAGAGTGATTTCAAGTTTGTGAGTGTGAACTACACCACAAACACTACAACCCTTGCGGAGCTGCATGTTTATACCAAGTATGCCATTGATGTGTCAGCAGTGAGTTCTGGTGGAGAAGGGCCTGCAAAATCGACCTTGGCTTCAACAGGTGCAAATAGACTATTATTCTTGTCCTGTTAAGTAAAGTGGTTCCCTGTTCTAATAATGAGTCTTCCATTCATAGTTCCAGTTTCACCTATTGAGTTACTTCCCCTTCACATTTTCATATTTCAACTCAATGAATTTTATTTTCCAGATAATCCGTGTCGCAGCTCACCATGTCGTAACAACGGGACCTGTCAATTATCTGGTGATGTTGTGTTCTGTGATTGTCCTGAGAAATTCTATGGTGACGTCTGTGAGATTTTTGTATCCGGTGAGTAGTCTAAAGAAAATCTAGAACACGTTTATACAGTCGTTACACTCGACAGAAGACAAAACGGTAATTATTTGTTCGTCTTTTTCAGCCCCCACTGCACCGCCTGGTCAAGTCTTCGTAACAGCAGCAAGCCCTACAAGTTTGAGGGTCTCTTGGGGTAGTGTTCCGGAACAAAATCGCCATGGAGATATTTTTCAATATAATGTTTATATCAGCCTTGCCCATAAACAGAACGATTCCTTTACAGTCCCTGTATCTGGGTCAACACAAAGCTATGTTAATGACCTCCAGGTCTACACGCTTTACGTGATTCGTGTTTCGGCAGTAAACGACGTCGGAGAAGGACCCAAAAGTACGGCATTTACAGCACGAACTATGGCAAGTGGTAGGTTAATAACTCTAGTCAGAAAATGGGAAATCTGCAGGATATCTACAGTAAATATTCTTGATTTTCCTTTTCAGGCTTATTGAAGACTAAAAAGCTCTAATTAAAACGCTTAATTTAAATATACCTGATAATTTCTTCCTCGTTTCAATGAACAAGCTTCCTATCAAATAATGAAAATGCCATAGATTCCGGTTTAAAAAATCTGTACTTTTTGCTGATCCCTGTATATTTCTTCAGCTCCATCTCGAGCTCCTACCTTGGTAACCGCGTACAACACGAGCTCCACAAGTCTGGCATTGAAATGGAGTCACGTGCCAAAGCAGTACTTCCGAGGAAACCCAATTGGATACAACATTATTTATTACCCAGTTGATTTAGAGAGTGATTTCAATTTTGTGAGTGTGAATTACACGACGAACACTACAACCCTCAAGGACCTGGCTGTGTATACCATGTACGTTATTAATGTGTCAGCAGTGAGTTCTGGAGGAGTGGGGCCTGCAATTATGGCAATAACGCGAACAGATGCAGAAGGTGAGGTAGTCTTAAAAATAGTGTTAAACTTAAAAATTCTGTTTCAAGAAGAGCGCAGCACTAGTTTAGTCGCAAATGGTTGATAAGCTTAAAGGTGCAATTCTATTACAACGCTTTGTTTGCAACAAGTAAATCTAAACAAGAAATTTGCTTTGCTCTGTAAATCAGCTGTAATAAAGTCAACGCGCCCTCTTACCTCCACGGTAATTTTCAACTTTCTCTCACTCCACCAGCTCCATCTCGAACTCCTGACCTGGTAACTGTGCATAACACAAGCTCCACAAGTCTGGTAGTGACATGGAGTCACGTGCCAAAGCAGTATTTTCAAGGAAAGCCTCTTGGATACAACGTTGTTTATTACCCGGTTGATTTAAAAAGTGATTTCAAGTTTGTGAGCGTTAACTACACGACAAACACTACAACCCTTACGGATCTGGCCGTGTACACCATCTACGTAGTTAATGTGTCAGCAGTGAGTTCTGGAGGGGTGGGGCCTGCAAAGATGGCGATGACTCGAACGGGCGCAGAAGGTAATCAAGTCTTCAAGAAAGCGTCAAACTAAAAATCCACTGCCAATGAAGAAATCCAATGCAGTTTTAAGGAAATTTCAGCAAGGGTTTGATCACAAATATGTGATAATCCTACAAGTGCTATTCTATTGCAATAGTGTGGTTGCAACAATTTACTTCTGTTAACCTGAACAAGCAATTTGCCTTGCTATAAAGATCAGCTTTAATATGGTCAATACACTCTCTTACCTTATCTTTCTACTCTCCACCAGCTCCTTCTCAAACTCCTGCCTTGGTAACCGCGTAAGACACAACCTCCACAAGTCTGGCGGTGACATGGAGTCTGTTTCAAGGAAAGCTAAACAAGATTTCGGGCACGAATAGCTTATGACTGAACTCAAAAGTGCAGTTGTATTAGTTGCAATCGTGTCATCGGTTTGCTTTGATAAAATATGCTCAACTAATAAGGTCAACACTCTCGTATCTCTGCAGTAACTTGCAACCTTCTTTCACTCTACAGCTCCATCTCAAGCACCTGACTTGGTAACCGCGTACACCACAAGCTCCACAAGTCTGGTGGTGACATGGAGTCACGTGCCAAAGCAGTATTTTCAAGGAAAACCTATTGGATACAACATTACGTATTACCCAGTTGATTTAGAGAGTGAAATAAGGTTTGCCAGTGTGAACTACACGACAAACACTACAACCCTTACGGAGCTAAATGTTTATACCAAGTATGCCATTAACGTGTCAGCAGTGAGTTCTGGAGGACTGGGGCCGGCAAATATGACAATGGCTCGAACAAGCTCAGAAGGTAAGGGAGTCTTAAATATATTGTTAAACTTAAGATTCAATGCCAATGACGAATTAAATGTGGTTTGAAGGAAAGCTCTACAAGAGTCTGGTTACAAATGGCTTATGACTGAGCTTAAGAGTGCAATTGTATCAGTTGCAACCATGAGGTCGCTTTACTTTTTAATAAATTAGCTTAATGAGCTCAATACACTCTCCTACCTCTACCTCTACAATTACGTTCAACTTCTTTTCACTCCACAGCTCCATCTCGAGCTCCTGACCTTGTGGCCGCTCATAATACAAGCTCCACAAGTCTGGTAGTGACATGGAGTCACGTGCCAAAACAGTATTATCATGGAAAGGTCATTGGATACAACATTATTTATTACCCAGTTGATTTAGAGAGTGATTTCAAGTTTGTGAGTGTGAACTACACCACAAACACTACAACCCTTGCGGAGCTGCATGTTTATACCAAGTATGCCATTGATGTGTCAGCAGTGAGTTCTGGTGGAGAAGGGCCTGCAAAATCGACCTTGGCTTCAACAGGTGCAAATAGACTATTATTCTTGTCCTGTTAAGTAAAGTGGTTCCCTGTTCTAATAATGAGTCTTCCATTCATAGTTCCAGTTTCACCTATTGAGTTACTTCCCCTTCACATTTTCATATTTCAACTCAATGAATTTTATTTTCCAGATAATCCGTGTCGCAGCTCACCATGTCGTAACAACGGGACCTGTCAATTATCTGGTGATGTTGTGTTCTGTGATTGTCCTGAGAAATTCTATGGTGACGTCTGTGAGATTTTTGTATCCGGTGAGTAGTCTAAAGAAAATCTAGAACACGTTTATACAGTCGTTACACTCGACAGAAGACAAAACGGTAATTATTTGTTCGTCTTTTTCAGCCCCCACTGCACCGCCTGGTCAAGTCTTCGTAACAGCAGCAAGCCCTACAAGTTTGAGGGTCTCTTGGGGTAGTGTTCCGGAACAAAATCGCCATGGAGATATTTTTCAATATAATGTTTATATCAGCCTTGCCCATAAACAGAACGATTCCTTTACAGTCCCTGTATCTGGGTCAACACAAAGCTATGTTAATGACCTCCAGGTCTACACGCTTTACGTGATTCGTGTTTCGGCAGTAAACGACGTCGGAGAAGGACCCAAAAGTACGGCATTTACAGCACGAACTATGGCAAGTGGTAGGTTAATAACTCTAGTCAGAAAATGGGAAATCTGCAGGATATCTACAGTAAATATTCTTGATTTTCCTTTTCAGGCTTATTGAAGACTAAAAAGCTCTAATTAAAACGCTTAATTTAAATATACCTGATAATTTCTTCCTCGTTTCAATGAACAAGCTTCCTATCAAATAATGAAAATGCCATAGATTCCGGTTTAAAAAATCTGTACTTTTTGCTGATCCCTGTATATTTCTTCAGCTCCATCTCGAGCTCCTACCTTGGTAACCGCGTACAACACGAGCTCCACAAGTCTGGCATTGAAATGGAGTCACGTGCCAAAGCAGTACTTCCGAGGAAACCCAATTGGATACAACATTATTTATTACCCAGTTGATTTAGAGAGTGATTTCAATTTTGTGAGTGTGAATTACACGACGAACACTACAACCCTCAAGGACCTGGCTGTGTATACCATGTACGTTATTAATGTGTCAGCAGTGAGTTCTGGAGGAGTGGGGCCTGCAATTATGGCAATAACGCGAACAGATGCAGAAGGTGAGGTAGTCTTAAAAATAGTGTTAAACTTAAAAATTCTGTTTCAAGAAGAGCGCAGCACTAGTTTAGTCGCAAATGGTTGATAAGCTTAAAGGTGCAATTCTATTACAACGCTTTGTTTGCAACAAGTAAATCTAAACAAGAAATTTGCTTTGCTCTGTAAATCAGCTGTAATAAAGTCAACGCGCCCTCTTACCTCCACGGTAATTTTCAACTTTCTCTCACTCCACCAGCTCCATCTCGAACTCCTGACCTGGTAACTGTGCATAACACAAGCTCCACAAGTCTGGTAGTGACATGGAGTCACGTGCCAAAGCAGTATTTTCAAGGAAAGCCTCTTGGATACAACGTTGTTTATTACCCGGTTGATTTAAAAAGTGATTTCAAGTTTGTGAGCGTTAACTACACGACAAACACTACAACCCTTACGGATCTGGCCGTGTACACCATCTACGTAGTTAATGTGTCAGCAGTGAGTTCTGGAGGGGTGGGGCCTGCAAAGATGGCGATGACTCGAACGGGCGCAGAAGGTAATCAAGTCTTCAAGAAAGCGTCAAACTAAAAATCCACTGCCAATGAAGAAATCCAATGCAGTTTTAAGGAAATTTCAGCAAGGGTTTGATCACAAATATGTGATAATCCTACAAGTGCTATTCTATTGCAATAGTGTGGTTGCAACAATTTACTTCTGTTAACCTGAACAAGCAATTTGCCTTGCTATAAAGATCAGCTTTAATATGGTCAATACACTCTCTTACCTTATCTTTCTACTCTCCACCAGCTCCTTCTCAAACTCCTGCCTTGGTAACCGCGTAAGACACAACCTCCACAAGTCTGGCGGTGACATGGAGTCTGTTTCAAGGAAAGCTAAACAAGATTTCGGGCACGAATAGCTTATGACTGAACTCAAAAGTGCAGTTGTATTAGTTGCAATCGTGTCATCGGTTTGCTTTGATAAAATATGCTCAACTAATAAGGTCAACACTCTCGTATCTCTGCAGTAACTTGCAACCTTCTTTCACTCTACAGCTCCATCTCAAGCACCTGACTTGGTAACCGCGTACACCACAAGCTCCACAAGTCTGGTGGTGACATGGAGTCACGTGCCAAAGCAGTATTTTCAAGGAAAACCTATTGGATACAACATTACGTATTACCCAGTTGATTTAGAGAGTGAAATAAGGTTTGCCAGTGTGAACTACACGACAAACACTACAACCCTTACGGAGCTAAATGTTTATACCAAGTATGCCATTAACGTGTCAGCAGTGAGTTCTGGAGGACTGGGGCCGGCAAATATGACAATGGCTCGAACAAGCTCAGAAGGTAAGGGAGTCTTAAATATATTGTTAAACTTAAGATTCAATGCCAATGACGAATTAAATGTGGTTTGAAGGAAAGCTCTACAAGAGTCTGGTTACAAATGGCTTATGACTGAGCTTAAGAGTGCAATTGTATCAGTTGCAACCATGAGGTCGCTTTACTTTTTAATAAATTAGCTTAATGAGCTCAATACACTCTCCTACCTCTACCTCTACAATTACGTTCAACTTCTTTTCACTCCACAGCTCCATCTCGAGCTCCTGACCTTGTGGCCGCTCATAATACAAGCTCCACAAGTCTGGTAGTGACATGGAGTCACGTGCCAAAACAGTATTATCATGGAAAGGTCATTGGATACAACATTATTTATTACCCAGTTGATTTAGAGAGTGATTTCAAGTTTGTGAGTGTGAACTACACCACAAACACTACAACCCTTGCGGAGCTGCATGTTTATACCAAGTATGCCATTGATGTGTCAGCAGTGAGTTCTGGTGGAGAAGGGCCTGCAAAATCGACCTTGGCTTCAACAGGTGCAAATAGACTATTATTCTTGTCCTGTTAAGTAAAGTGGTTCCCTGTTCTAATAATGAGTCTTCCATTCATAGTTCCAGTTTCACCTATTGAGTTACTTCCCCTTCACATTTTCATATTTCAACTCAATGAATTTTATTTTCCAGATAATCCGTGTCGCAGCTCACCATGTCGTAACAACGGGACCTGTCAATTATCTGGTGATGTTGTGTTCTGTGATTGTCCTGAGAAATTCTATGGTGACGTCTGTGAGATTTTTGTATCCGGTGAGTAGTCTAAAGAAAATCTAGAACACGTTTATACAGTCGTTACACTCGACAGAAGACAAAACGGTAATTATTTGTTCGTCTTTTTCAGCCCCCACTGCACCGCCTGGTCAAGTCTTCGTAACAGCAGCAAGCCCTACAAGTTTGAGGGTCTCTTGGGGTAGTGTTCCGGAACAAAATCGCCATGGAGATATTTTTCAATATAATGTTTATATCAGCCTTGCCCATAAACAGAACGATTCCTTTACAGTCCCTGTATCTGGGTCAACACAAAGCTATGTTAATGACCTCCAGGTCTACACGCTTTACGTGATTCGTGTTTCGGCAGTAAACGACGTCGGAGAAGGACCCAAAAGTACGGCATTTACAGCACGAACTATGGCAAGTGGTAGGTTAATAACTCTAGTCAGAAAATGGGAAATCTGCAGGATATCTACAGTAAATATTCTTGATTTTCCTTTTCAGGCTTATTGAAGACTAAAAAGCTCTAATTAAAACGCTTAATTTAAATATACCTGATAATTTCTTCCTCGTTTCAATGAACAAGCTTCCTATCAAATAATGAAAATGCCATAGATTCCGGTTTAAAAAATCTGTACTTTTTGCTGATCCCTGTATATTTCTTCAGCTCCATCTCGAGCTCCTACCTTGGTAACCGCGTACAACACGAGCTCCACAAGTCTGGCATTGAAATGGAGTCACGTGCCAAAGCAGTACTTCCGAGGAAACCCAATTGGATACAACATTATTTATTACCCAGTTGATTTAGAGAGTGATTTCAATTTTGTGAGTGTGAATTACACGACGAACACTACAACCCTCAAGGACCTGGNACTATGGCAGGTGGTAAGTAAGTAACTCTCGTTTGAGAGAAGACAGATGTGAGATGTGTCGCAGCTCACCATGTCTTAACAACGGAACCTGTAAACCATCCAGTGAGATTTTTCTCTGCCATTGTCCTGAGAAATTCGTTGGTGACCTCTGCGAGACTTTTGTGTCTGGTGAGTATCATATAAGAACATATTGAACTGGTTCCCGACTGATTAGAGAAATAACTATTGCCCGAATGCCCCCGACCTGCATCTTCCAGCAAAGGCTCTTAGTTTCGTTCTAAGTGACGAAGTCAATAATAGTTAGTGAAGCAGAAAGTTATCCTAGTAGAATAAAAACTGTACCTTCGTCTTAAATTATTCAGATAGGCCCTGCTGTGTACTGAAACACATCCAAACTGCAGACTGTGATGTCAAATCCTCTTTTTCAGCTCCTACTGCACCACCTGGTCAAGTTTCTGCAAAAGCAACAAGTCCTACAAGTTTGCTTGTCAGTTGGAGTAGTGTTCCGGAACAGCATCGTCATGGGAAAATCCTTCTACATCACGTTTACATCAGTCACGCTAACAAGCCGGATGATTACCGCTCGTTCCCTACACAGATTCCCACGCAACTTCTTTTGGGTGATCTACAGGCTTACACGCTGTATGTCATTCGCGTTTCGGCCAGGAACAACATCAGTGAAGGGCCCAAAAGTGTGCCAATTACAGCGCGAACTATGGAAGGCGGTAAGATATCATATAAATCTCAACAGTATTAAACCTTCTAACAAAAAACGATCGTGTCGAAAAACATTCAAGCAAGACACTTAACGAAAGTAAAGCAACTGAGTTGAATGTAACTCATGAAGGATTGAGATTTGCAGACTGAGTGGGTAAGATTGAACATAAAATTGTTTTTTCAAATTAGATCGCAGATCGACTTTGCTTTTAGTTGACGCGCATTTGTATTGGTGAATATTTCACTTTTCCGGCGTTGAGGCTTGATTATCCGGTTCGAAGTCTCCTTCTCCGCTCACAAATGGTCAGGGAGTCTACCGTCTACCTTTTTTCTTTTTTTTTTTTTTTGAAAGGATGGAGTGAATTTGAAAGTGAAGTGCCTGATTTAATAAGCCATTCCGTGTAGCTTTTTGCCTCTTTTTCAAAACGAGTCCTGGTGCACAACCTTTCAAATGGAAATGAGCGTGAGGTTGATTTGCAAAACAATGAACGTGCAAGCAAAACTCAGATTCGATTTGAAACTGAGGTAACAGATATTCGGAAATAGCTTTTTCGTCTTCATTCTCCTATCTCGATCAAAATGTGCTCGTGCGTAACTTTTGGTACCTTTTTGCTTATTACACCGATGTGTATTGTATTCATCTTTTTAGTGCCCAGCGCTCCCCCAACTAATTTGCATTTGGTCCACCGAGATTCGAGGTCCATTATCGTGGAATGGGACCCAATCCCTGAGGGTTCAGAGAATGGTGTTCTTAATGGATACAAGGTGGAATACTGGGCGAAACGGAACAACCAGACAGCTGTTCGCGAAACAAGCAATGACGAATATACTGCTGTTCTAGACGGGCTCTCGCATAACACCGTATACACGATCCGGGTAGCTGCCTTCACGAGTAGCGGTTCAGGAGACTTCTCGGAACCCATCCTTGTCGAGACGAAAATGTGTAAGTTAAGATTCATCGATCCCTTAAAAATTGATTAAATCATCCCATGGTCTCTTTATCTTCAATTTGTTAGATAAACATTTTATTTTCATCAGTCAGTCAGTGTTATCTAACTGTACTTTGTGACCCATGAGCTTTTGCCAAACGGTTGAATGTTTGCTGGAACATTGAGCTGCCAGGGACCTAATATCAAGGGACGTCACAACACATGGCGTTATATTAAACCACTTGAACACATTGTTCTACACTGGCCAGTTCTTCACTTTTCCAACTCCCTCGTAGCTTTGTTGTAGATCGTCCGATCTGTGTGCGAAAGGCTCGACTTACGTTGGGAGAACTCGGAAAAACCTTTTGGCAGTAGAAACTTGTCACTGGCTGACAAAACTTCGATGTTTTTCAATGCTTCAGACGATCCCTGTGAGAATTATCTTTGTCTAAATGGAGGGACGTGTTTGGTGGAGGATGGACCTTACTGTAGTTGCCAAGAGATGTTCAGCGGCGGATATTGTGACACTTACAAAGCTGGTAAGGAAATAAACTACAGAGTTTGAGTTTCATGAGTATGTTCAGCTTGTCAAGGACTTCGGTGATAATGTGTGTCCGAAGACACGAACGAGACCACGTATAAGAGAGAGCAAATAAAACACCAGGATCAACAAAGGAGGGTAACTGATATATGAAGAGGATATGAATTGTACTCATCCATTTTAAGAAATATATCAAACACAAAAGACCATGTTCGACCAAATTTCCAAACACCGGGAAGAGAGTTGAAAACATGACGCGTAGCGAAGTATTTTTGACGAAATTCGAGGTGTTTGGAAATGTGGTCAAACACTGCTTTGAGTGTTTGATATATCTTCTTAATCAAACGAAAACTTTAAGGAAAAAATGGTAAAAAAAACGGTAAAACTTTATGCTGACCAAGATCACATATCCAAACGCCGTCACGGTCATGATTTCCTTTGTTTAAACTTGATGAATGTATTAACGAGTTTGAGATGGACAATTTCCCACCAGATAATGAGCAACCTTCAAGATGGCGAGTCTTATCAACTCTGATTCATGCGGGAGGGAGGCGAAGTCATGTATAATTCAAAAGTTGGCGAAACTAAATGACATTGACGATTCTATAAACATTGATGACCGTTGAATAACAACGTTTTTTCTCAATTATTATATTTTATTTTTCATTTCTTAAAAGAGCGTCCATGCCGCAGTCCAACTGTGAGGTTGCCGAGCTTATCACCAAATGTGACGTCAGCTGTGAGCGTGCGCCGAGCTAACCAGATTTTGATTCCTTCCGAAGTGGAGCTCGATTGTGAGCTTTCCTTCGCGACAATTTTCAACTGGGAGGTGTTTCATTTGTATTCAGATGAAGTCCTATCAAGAAACGGATCTTCTGAACTGCTTATACCACGGGGTAGTCTACCGGTTGGGAGCTACTCAGTTCGACTGACCGTGAAGATGGAAGGAACGAAAGTGTTCGGTGTTGGTGAAGGTTACATTCGGGTCATCAGCAGTCCAATCGTTGCACGCATTGCCGGAGGAACTAAGGTGGAGCGAGGATTCAATAAGACTTTGATCTTCAATGCTTCCTTGTCACATGACCCCGATGCGTTTGATCCTGAAGTCAGTAAGTTCAATCCTGCCTTTCAAAGCAACTGGGTAAACTGGGTAGTCCTGGAACTCTTTGTTTCAACGTAGGCAGTCTGTTTCGGGTCACCAAGTGCGGTCGTCCATTCCGGTGAAATCACGTGAACGGATCCGGGCTTAAGGTCATGGGAAAAGGGCACATAGGGGCAAACACGGTCATTGTTGCGTAGTGTGTTATCGAGTTATCTTTCTTAAGTAGATTTGTAAAATTCATTTTCATATGAAAGCATTTTGACTCGACGTCATTTTGAAACTGTCGCAAGTTTTTTCTGGTTACATGTGTTTTTCCCTGTCGTTGTCTGTTCCACAAACCTTTCATTCAACTTGGTGGGGATGGTGAGAACATTTCTCTTGCGAGGTTCGGTCGCGTCTTCTTTACACGCTATAAATTAACCCCCTCCTAAAATCTTGAATTTCTTTCCGTATTACACCCTGACTTTCTCGAGCGGAATTACTTATTTTAACCTGATACCTCGTATTGTTGTATTTTCTTTCTCTAGGTCTGCGTTTCACCTGGGTGTGCAGAGACACGAACATGCAGTATCTTCTCGATGATTTGCTCGAAATAACCTCGGCCATTCCTAGTCCTTCTGAGTCCGATCTTGGTCGCGGAGGATGTTATGGGACTGGTGCGGGTAAAATAGGCTCTAATGAGTCCCTGCTGCAGATAAACAGCGGCTTCATGGTAGAAAACAGTTCGTACTTGATAACAGTTGTGGTTGAGAGGGGCCGGAGACGAGCAAATTACACACAGGAAGTGGTTATTGTTCCAGGCGATCCACCAGAAGTGATGATAATGTATGTTAAATTATTTCCCTAGGTTATAACCTCTCCTGTTTTGTACTAGGTTGACAGGCCGTAAAAGGTCTATTTCTCTCCTCTCCCACAACCCTCCCTCAAAGTAACGACCCTCCCCTGAACAGATGTCAACAATTCTGAAAAACGTTCATTTCAATGTACACCATCCATGAGCTACTCTCTTGTAAGTTGCTGAGTCAGTATTTTTATATATATATTTTAGTTTTAAAATATTTTTCCCCTTTAACGGTAAATGTCTATCTTTTCCAGCTGTAAAGACAACTGTGACGCGAAATTGAATCCATCTCGAAGGATAGCACTAGAAAAACTCTGTAAGGACTCATTGTGTGGAAGAAGCCTGACATATCATTGGTCCTTATTCAAAACCTCCTTAGTCAACCAATCTCATTGGGTTCCGGATCAGACGTTGCAAGACAAAACTCGGACAAGATTAACCTCGCCGCGACTTGTCACTCGCCCTGGAGTACTAGAGCCGAATGTGAGGTACAAATTTGTGTTGACTGCCCAACGGCGCGGAGGACATCCGGGACGTTCCGAGTACCAGGTCACCACCAACAGCCCTCCTGCTGGAGGAAAGTGCGATGTAAAACCGCTGTCTGGTATCACCCTTAACACAACATTTTCCTTTACGTGCAGTGGTTGGGAGGATCCAGATCGTCCACTGCAGTTTGAATTCATTTACTTCACCACAGAAGATGGTGTTCTTAATGTGGTGTACAAGGGAATAAAAAGCAGTGTAGAGACGAAGCTTCCAGCTGGGACAAAGGCAAATAACTTTACTATTGACTTTCGAGTGCGAGTGGATGACCTGTTTGGCGCGTATACTGAAGTGAAGATTCCTGTCCAGGTGGGAAGAATCAATTTTGTCAAAATTGCAACTTTGTAGTTAATCCAAGTACTCATTTAATTTGGTAGGGCGTCGGAGTCTGGGGTCTAGCCTCAGTGTCTCTCCTAAATATTTCAGCCAGCTGATACATGCTGTTGAGAGAACTTGACAAAATGCTGCTGTAAACTAAGGATGGTAAGGTTTCAACGGATGGTATGGGTGTGGGTATGGTATTTTTTTTTTACTTTCTTTGCGTAGGAGATCGACTGAGTTAAGTACACTGCCCTTAATCGCTAACACTATTTTTTTGTGTGTGATATTAAATTGCCACTCGTTTTTATTAAAATATACTTAGGCACCAATGTGCCATGTTTTGGCTTCTTTCAATTCAATCTCAGGTATTGGAGCTTCAGTTAAAAGCGGACAAACTAGTGGAACGAGCGGTTGAATTGACCACTGGGAACGAGAGTCAGTTAACTAAATTAATTCAGTCCGGTGATGTGTCACGTGCAGTCCAGCTGGCTAAGGCAGCTATTGTGGCTGTGGATGAAGACAAGAAAGTTCGGCCAGTAACTCAGGGACTGTTGAAAGAAAAGAGAAAAGAGGTAAGTCACAAATTTGCAACTTGCAGCTTCCGTCCACCAGAGTGATGATATTATGTCCGCTATAGCCCAATTTTTTAATTGCGCGTTGAACGTATCGTGGAATGGCTATGTTTTGTGATTGGTTTAAAAACCTCGCCACCTGGTCATTCAATCAGACGTAAAACCAAAGCCCGCGTTTTCCCTCGCTAGGCCTCCGTACCTGTATTTGCATCAAGTTCCAGTTGTTTCAAAGTGCTTTCATTTTAAGTTCGCTGTGCTTTTCCATTGTCATTAGTTTGGTACTACAACACTTGATTGAAAGGTGCTCCATATATATATAATGTTATTTAAAAGTTTAATTCTGTCTTCATGTTTTCCTATTTAATTGGAATCTAACAACCCCCAATCCCTTTTTTTTCAGTCAAAAAGATTCTGTCGCCGTAAAAAAATTCTTCGGTTTATGTTTGGCACCGTTAACTACAAGCCTAACATTGATCTCATTTTAACGAGTACTTTATTACAGATGAAATCCAGTATTGTGAAACAGATATCGGCCATACGAGTGGAGACTGTGGAGAGGGTACAACAGACGTCAAACGTCATAGCAGAAGCGACGTCTGTCATTGGCGAGGTTACTGTTGAAGCTCAGGTTTGTCTTTCTACCCTTATTTTCGTGTTTATTACCTTTTTTCTTATTGCTATAATGTTAATTGTGTGAACTGCTGGATTTACGAATCTATCAAGTGCGTTTTTCACATTTTAACGAAAAACCACCTGTGACACACCACGTGTTGAGCAGTAAAGGCTGCGTTAGTCAAAACATTCAGTCGATTCTTCTCTCGAGGGTGAAATCGTCCCTTGGAGTCAACTGAAAATGACGTCGTTAAAAGGTGACCTCCACTTCGTCGAAGCTATCTTCCATAACAAACAAAGGTGCTAACTGAAATTCATGTCGTGCGTGACATTTAGAGACTCGAAGCTCACTGAGGGAGTCAGCCAACCTTTAACAGAGGGCGTTTCTTTCGTCCACGTAATTTGTTCCAGGACTGACTGGACTGAACACTTCCATGATAATTCATTTCCAGAAAGCGGCGACAGATGCCCTCCAGTCGATGACCGAAGTATTGAAAAAGGAGTCTTCAGCAGGGATAAGTTACGAGGCACTATTTGATGGCGCGAGGAGTCTGGCCTCTGGTCTAGGTAGCGTTCTCAGGGTGTCATCATACATGGCCAGATCATACGCCATAATTGACAGTCAGGTCGGTGGCCAGGATTCTTCCAATTTATACCGAAGGCGAAGGAGCTTCGTGGAATCGATACTTTCGTTTGTAGGTTTGAAAGCCCTGCAAAGACTGAAAAGAGATGCTGCAAAGGATCAGTTAGAAGCCAAAAGAGCGGTAAAGAAATGTTAAGTTTAAAATTTCTGCTAATGTACTAAGAAACGTATGAAACCAAGAATAAGGGGCAAATGATGTAAAGAAACATGAGCGACCTTTGGAAGGGCTGATGGGAGGGCGAAGCAAGAAACTAAAGTATGATGATAAAATGTACATGTAATGCTGGAAAAAAGAGAAAGCCAGTTCCTTTTAGGGAAATGTTTTGTTGAGCTTAAGTATAGGGAGGCGCGGTGGCCTCATGGTTAGTGCGCTCGTCTCCGGATCGAGCGGTCCGGGTTCGAGCCCTGGCAGGGAACATTGCGTTGNCTTTGGAAGCATTATTTGACTGAAGAGGGTTTCAAGCCATTTTCTGTCAAACAGCACCATTGCATTCTCTCTTCTACTTATGATATCTGTTTTTAATTCACTAAGTTTGATCCAGTTTGTAAATGGAGATGTAACGAACAGTGACATCAGCAGAGGTAGCCAAATTTGTGAAGCCGAACACGTTTCTCAGTGGAACTTAATTGTTATGCCTTATTAAGTTAATGTTATCTAATTTGTAGTCTAAAGCAAGAGCTATTGGTATCCTAAATTCACTGGAGGAGGTCGGAAGCACGATCTTGTCCCAAACCCTTGTCGGTGAGGAGCCGACTGAGCTATTAGCCCAGGCGGTGTCATTACTCGTGTCCAGAGAGGAGCCGGACTTACTCGCTGGTTCTGTTATGTCAACTGGCAAAGGAAGCAGTTTCACTCTTCCTTCCGTTCCCAGCTTGTTTGATAATGGTACGCAGTTTGTGGATAGCAAGGTAGGCGAGAACTAGTGGATATGTAATATATCAAAGATGAAAGACCGTGTTCCACCATCCATATTTTCAGGCAAATTTCGAGAATAGCGTTGAAAATACGACGCGTAGCGAAATAGTTTTTACGAACTTAGAGGTGTTTGAAAATCAGTGAGGTCAAACACTGTCCTGAGTATTTCATATATCTAAGACTAAGGAGAAAAATTGTAAAAATTTACGCTACACGTAAATAACTGGATCAGATATCCAAACACCGTCACGGTCATAATTCTCTTTGTTTAAGCCTGATGAATTATTAATGAGTTTCAGAACTTACATCAATATATAGAAACCTCGCATGTACGTGCCACATTGCCATTGTCCCATTTTAATTATTACAGCAACATTGTTTGTGGACAGCCAGGTAGGAGGAAACAAATGCCAAGTGTTACTTTTTTCACGAGATGATAGATACCATTACCCCAATCATCAAGCAAAAGTTTATAGTTTGCAGATTATTGCTTCTATGGAAATCGAGTCCATCCCCGCCAGAATGTTCCATGATATTAATACTAAATATTTGTAAGGTACGGATGACAGATAGCAAAGGCTTTCTGACCAGTTACGGGAAATTATAATCTGGAATATTATTAGGGTAGGGTCGTACAATAACTCTTAGAACGAGAGACGCCCCTTTAGAAGATTATGAACAAAGCCCATTGCTGAACTGCCTGATGTCACATCGGAAAACTTACCACTCATAGTTTTCTATTCTCTGCTCATGGCAGATCGTAACAACTAGCTTCGTGCCTTTCACGTGGGACCCCTCGGGAGCGCGAGTGACCACAGGAGTGTCAAGCCTTGAGCTAAAGAATAGCACTGGACATCTTTTGAAAATCACAAAACTGGAATCTCCGATAACTATCAAGATTCCTTATACTCACGATTTAACAAACAGTTCGCAATCTCATTACGTTGGAGCCAATAATACAGTTTTTTACAAGATCAATGTAACGCAGTCAGGCATGGCTCTGATACTTAAGGTGCGTCCAGAAAACAACGTAACAGAGTTCTTGGTGTCAGTTAAATACGGGCAACGTCCGTCTCTAAGCAACAGTGACATCAACGCTACTGTTCCCAATTTTTCATCCTGCGTTAGGTTGTCATCTGGTTACGTCAATTGTTCACGTGATCCTTACGTAGTGTTTGTTAGTAATGAGCTTGTCAGTCGGATAGGGTGTTACTTCATTGGGATAAAAATCAAGCCTAGGAGCGGGTCCAGGAAAAGGAAGTGCTCAGAAGAAGGGCGCTCAAAACGATCATGCGTACAATACAAGGAAGCCCCTGTAGCGGATGCCCCAAATATGGCACATTCTATTCATGCACCCAAGTACAGCAGAGGAGATGTAATTTACACCATGCAAGCGTTGCCAGCTGCTTGTCTTTACTGGAGTACAGCCGTGTCAAGATGGACAACTGAAGGATGTCAGGTAACATAAAGGATGAACTTGGGATGACTTCTGTTTTACGTCTTTGTAGCGTAACTGGGTCGTGCGGTTTTCAATCGAGTGTCGTAAAACCAAAAGCAAACCAAAAGTAAAAGTAATTGCCTGATTACTTTCCACATTCAACTGAAAATCGCTCTCAGCACAAAGAGGCTAACGTATTACCGCTATATTCAGTTGTAGATTGCTGAGATGTTTCTTTGGTCCCGAGCGGACTATTTTTGTCTCTAAGACGGCACAAAAGCTTTAGTCAAATTGAAGTCATTACTCAAGTGAGTCAATAGTCGGCTTGTATGATTGTCAGGTTTATCTCCACGCTTGAGGAAAAAAGTATTGCTAGTGCACGTTTAGAGTGTTGTTATACTTGAGTACGAACATTACTTCGTTTCCTCAGTTTATTGAATGAGAAGCAATAACAAGCAACGGAAAAATAACCGTGTGGAACCTTACCAAAAGTTTTTGCTCGGTCATTTTTCCCCTCGCTTCCACTACGATTTTCGCAGAGGGAACTTAAAAAAGAAAGTTCCTAGTCTCAATATCTTAATGTTGTCAGTAAATTCTAGCATTGTAAGTGTCTTTAAAGTCCTTTTCTTGAACCAATTTTACTGTCCAACAGGTAGCCGAGACGACAACACTGGATACGATCCACTGCCTGTGTAGTCACCTGACTTCATTTGGGGGTCAGCTCTTTGTGGCGCCGAATCCAATAGATTTCGATAAAGTTTTCACTGAATTTGATTGCCTCCCAGAGACTGGGAATGTAGCTGTTATAATAGCTCTGAGCTGTTTATTTGGACTTTATCTGCTGCTACTGGTGTGGGCTCGGAAAGCTGACATGCAGGATGCTTTGAAGGTAGGTATTGTCTCGTTTACAGGAATGAATGTGTTCGTCTCGTTCACAGGAATGAATGCTTCTTCTTCTGAATACAAAAGAGACATCCATTTCTATAAACGCATTCATTCCTGATTACTTATCCTCTTTCCAGAGGAAGTAGCCATTCCAAAAAAACTTGTTTGCTTGTCTTTTTTTACTTTTAGATCGGAGATAAGCCATTTATAGGCTCCCTATCGCCTTGGTGTTATCGATACGAGATTCAACTATCCACAGGCATCTGGGCCAACTCGGGCACGAGTGCTAACGTGTTTATCGTTCTGGAAGGCGAATCAGGTTCTAGTAGACCTCATCAGTTGAAGGGTGGCTCAATCATTCCATTCGCAAGAGGAAGCATCACATCGTTTACTCTCTCGCTCTGCAACAATATTGGCCCCTTACGACGTGTGCGCGTATGGCACGACAACTCCGGCAAAAGCCCTTCGTGGTTCCTAAACACTGTCAAGATTTATGACGTGTGCACTCAGGAGGTTAAGACATTCATGTGCTTCACGTGGCTGGCTGTGGAGAAAGGCGATGGATTAGTCGATCGCACCCTCACGTCAGACTCAACTGACTTAAAACGAATGATGTCTAAGGCGTCGTTTCAGAACAGATTAGCCGAAGAATTCGGTAATGGGCATCTGTGGTTTTCAGTGGCGACCAGACCTCCGAGGAAACGCTTCACGCGCGTCCAACGACTATCTTGTTGTCTATCACTTCTGTTAACCACAATGTTAGCGAGTGCCATGTTTTATGAGTTCGTCCCAGGGCATGATCAGAATCAAGGCTCCCTTAGGTTGGGTCGTCTTGTTCTTAATCTCCGACAGTTGGTCATTGCGGTAGAGAGCCTTCTTGTAGTTATACCCGTAAATCTGTTGATAGTAGGAATCTTTTGCCGCGTGAAATCACAGAACGACATGCGTCAACAGAGGTACAGCGTAAACAAGCATCTCAGTATTCACGCGGTCACAAAGAAAACTCAGCTGCGGAAAGGATATAAACTGGTTCTGCCTCATTGCTTCGTTTATCTCGCGTGGCTTCTGTGCTTTCTATCGTCGGCGGTGTCTGCAACTTTCATTGTCTTCTACAGTTTACAATGGGGTAAAGATATAAGCGAGGAGTGGCTGATCTCCAATGTGATCTCTACGTTTATGGACATATTTGTTTCTGAACCTTTGAAGATCGTCGTCGTAGCATTTTTGGTCTCATACTTTTGCAAGTCAGACTTTGACGAAATCGCTGACACGCCCAGCGCGATCTTAAATTTTAACGACATCAGCATCACAACCGAAAGAGAAGAAGTCGATAACGAAGAAGAGATTGCCTTGCCAGAGCCTCCGAGCAAGCGGGAGTTACGCAGTGCGAGGGCATATCGCATGAGGGAGATGCGCATGTATCGCGCTATACGGAAGATAGTAAGTTATCTTGTGTATTTATGGATTCTGATGATCATCTGCTATGGAGGCCGCAGTCAGGACAGTTTCTCTCTGACTACATCACTGCACAAAACATTTGGAGAGCTTAGCCAGGTATGTGATGTAAGTAAGCTTCATTCATGCAGTTCATTTCTTCGACCCCGGTCTCCAAGGATAAGAACAGGTACGGGAAGTAATAAGAGACCTGCAACTCGTTTCTTGAAAGCCCCGGGAACTTTTCGATATTCGGGCCCGCAAAGCCATTTTTAGTTAATCTGTATTCAAAAACAGAGAGTTGTATACGCCTGAGACTTCTTTGAAAGGAACCGCTGTTCATATCAAGAATATGTNTTTTTTTTTCTCTTTAGCTGAGCTTTTCGTTAACTCGCCATTTGTGCTTTTTTGTTTTCTTTAGATTCATGTGAAGTCGAAGAGGTAGCTAACACCCAATTCAACTCCTGCATTGCACTATATTCATACATCACCGAAGATAAAACGAAGTTCTACTTACCAAGATGGCGCCCGTTTCCAGCATCACAGAACATATCAGCTGAAGCGTTGAACAAGGTCTGCCCCAAGCCCTGGCGTTACTCTACAGCCGAGCAAACCCAAAGTCTTCCTAAATGGGGAAGAATTTCCTCAATATATGGTCAGGGTGGTTACTTGGAAGAACTTGGCTACGAAAAAAACTCTGCGTCGAAAGTCATTTCTGAGTTGAACCAGTTTAACTGGCTTGACCGATTTACTAGTGCTGTGTTGGTTGAATTCACAGTTTTCAACTCTCGCGTAAGTCTCTTTAGCGCAGTTTGGATCCCGGTCGAGTTTTCACCAAGTGGTCACGTGGTTTCAAGTCACGTGATTCGTACCATTCACGTGTACAACGTTGGAGCTGGCTACAGTGCTGCTCTTCTTGTCTGTCAAATTATGCTGGTGCTGTTTATTATATACTTCATCTACAAGGAAACAAAGCAGATGGTTCAAAGTCGTAAGCTCTACTTCCTGCAGTTTCTCAACTGGGTTGAACTGGCCCAAATCCTGTCAGCTATTGCTTTTGTAGTCATCCACATCCTCAAAGAGATAGAACTCTTCGCCAATACTGCAAAACTTCACGAGAATATTTTTCAGTTCATAAGTTTCGACAGAGAAGTACTCCTAGATGACATAGAGACGGCGTTACTGGCTTTGCTGATGTTCTTCAACACCTTAAAGTTACTGTATCTGTTTAGATTCAACAATCATGTAAACCATCTGTCAGATGTAATGAAAGCATCCGCCCTGGAGCTTTTGAACTGCTCACTAGGATTTTTCGTATTCTTGTTTGCTTTCAGTCATTTCGGATTTCTCCAGTTTGGAATGGAGCTGCAGGATTACTCTTCTCCAATAAACTCTATCCAGTCTCTTCTCATTCAGGGAGTTGTGAGCGACAGAGCTGCACATCTTCAGGATTGTCATGCCATCATTGGTCCACTGTTCTTCATCGTTTTCAACATTTGTCTACAAGTGATCTGGATAAATATTTTCATCGCCATTCTAATTTATGATTACCAAACTGCTAAACGAGTCCCCAAAGCCAGATTCAACCTGGGACGCTTTATGATGGTGAAAATGAGAGAGCTTTTGAACTGCGCGGGAGACACGCCAAAGAGGCCAGAGAAAGAGGGAAGCATTAGAAAGAAACGAGTATCATGGAAACTTCACGACGACAACAACAACAACGACAACAACAACAACAACGACAACAACAACAACAACAACAACAAGGGAAATAAAAAGAGAAAGCCAAGACCCCTGAAAAAGTTGGCGGAAGTGAAGCCCGACCTAGTGAGCGAGTTAGAGAAACGGATGGCGCGAATAAATGATAGTTTGAATGACCTCTACGTTGACGAGTTCAGGGGGGATATCGACGTTTTGAGCATATGGCTCGATGCTCGTGCGCGAGGAAGGAAGGAGAGGGCTAATACCCACTCGGCGGAGGAAGGCTCACGAGTAGTCAAAGATGAAGTTCGAGGATTGTTTCCAGTGCCTCAGCATGCTCAGGGATTGAAGTCGACAAGTGTCGAGAGAGGCGTATAGTTTCTTAGACTGCCTTAAATGAAACTCGGAATTTAAAAAAGCTAATGGTGTGGAGCAGAAATTAAAAAAAAGAAAAAAAACGAAACCGATGTCAGAGCCAATTTTGTTATAAATGGCTGAATGTTCCTCTAAAGAAATCATAAGCAAAAACGTAACAAAAAAACAACATTACTAGATACAATTACACTCGGAGACATGCACGTTCTAAGTGCTTTTCTGTAAATGAAGTTACGCTTGCTTGTGTATTTCAGTTGTTTACCCTCACTAAGGCTACTTGCATACGCAAGTGCCGTTTTCATATGGTTCTCCACATTACCACTTTTTTGCACACTTCTACATACAATAACGATGAAAAACACTGTTAGGGACGGACCTTTATCTTTTTGAGTGGGGCTTGTTCCTTCACAGCAAAAGCGGCTGAAAAAAAATCGTGTAAGGGAAGACATGGGGAAAAATATTCGAGAAAGTGCTTTCTACTACCAAGGTCCCATTTTTGATGTTACAAAAAATCTTACACAAGTTATTGCCCACCAAAGAAATCATGCGCAACCTACGGAAGAGAAGAAAAATTCATGCCCCAGAGGATAGCCAACCCCAACCCCCGCACCCCCTATCCCCGCCTCGTCAAAAAATAATGGTCCGTCCCTTATTTTAGCTACTCCGATTTGGATATCACGAAGCATGTTCTCTTGCGTCACTGTTATCCATCGTTTCTATGTAGACTATAGGCAAAGTGCGTTAGAGACATTCGTTTTCGAACAGGCTTGCGTTTCTCAATGAAAACGCGTTGCTGTGACCCAGAGCCTTCTCCGCTGAACATATTGTGGTTTAACCCGCCCTTCAATGTTATCTTTTTAGTTGCAACAAAAGCAGTATTGCAATACCTCGTTAAAAATACCTTTGGCAATCCATATTTGTGCCAAGAGCCCGCGGCCAATCCAGCGGGCATAGAGAACCGAAGGGCTCTGGGGACGAGATCAAATTTTCTTCAGAATTTTCCCGCCATTTTCCCGCGGCCTTTGCAGGAAAGAGGAATTTTTGGGGAAGAGAAATGTGTATTATTCGGCAGGTTTTGAAAATTCCTTTACAGGTAAGGACCATGTTCATTACTTGATTTCTCAGGTCTACTTTGTCCCAACTGACACACTGAAACTTTTAGTGACTCTGACGCTTCTTTGTATTTTGCTTGCCTGTCTTGTCGGTCTGCCAGTTCACGGACCTTCCCGGCGCGATGTGTGCAAGAGCCAAAACGTTAGAAAGGAGTGCAAAAAGCTGATTAGAATTTAGTACTAGTACTAGCTACAATTTCGTCGTAGGCCGACTGTCGTGACTTTTGGGATAAAACCACAGCGTATTAAGAAAGTTTCGGAAATTATGATAAGGACACAAGCCCCGTAAATATGCAAGCTTCAAAAACATGTTGTGTCAACGGTTGTATGAACTGAATCAAGTCAAGAAATAATTGGTCATTCTTAAACACCTCTAACAGCTCCACTTGCATACTAGCTTTGAAGAAGATGTGCAGGCCTAGGCAAGTTGTGCCAGGAACATGCACTTTGTTGCTGCGAGTGCCAACTACACAATTTAACATGAAGCTCTGTTGCACTGTTATCTATATTGTGTGCATGACTTCAGAAGTTATGATGAATTCGCCCACTTCTCGAGGTATGACCGGTATTTTACCCAATTTAATTAATTTACACGATATATTGAACATAGAGGGTATTTGTTTAGTAACCATCGACCTATTGTATTCCCGCCCCCCGTGTATGTTACACCAAAAGATGAGCAAAGCTGTTCAGTTTAATTGCTAAAAATGTTGTGCCCTGTTGACAGTGGTTAAACTATAACATTGCAGCAAATTTGGAAAGTTGGAAAGCATCCCCAAAGCATGAAAGGGCTAACTCTCAAAATGTCAGCTTTCCGAATTTTGTACTGCATTTAACCTACAGCTGTTAAATTAATTAACCATCTGTTGGACCAAAAGATACAATTTAAATTTTCAGCCTTTAGACTTCATAAATCTGTTCATATTAAAATGTTACTACCATTTCTATCCATTTTGACTGTTAGTTTTAAAAAGCTGAGCTGATGTTTGGATACTTGAATATATTTCATCCTTACTCTTGATTTACTTATTTCACTGTCAGCAAAACTAGAAAATTTGGGCAAAGAACAGTTGTGTAGTTTATTGCATTCTGTTGGAACTTAGTTGACATTTCTAGTTATTATTGAAATAAAAGAGCAACAACAAATGAATAAACGGAAAGTCAATAAATATCCCCCATTGGCTGGCTTTATTCAACTTTCGTCTGAAAAACACTGGATTCCCAATTATTTATTTTGTGGCTACAATTTACATACTCAAATGATATTTATGATAGCTGATTGAGAAAGAGCCATCTTATATGAACCCATATTTTTATAATTACATTACATTCATTTCATTACATTTAAAAAACAGGAACTTTTACACGCATACTGTAAAGTACTTACTTACATTACATACTACTTGACTCTACACCTACATTGTAGATTACACTACCACACACTACTACTTACTACCTAGTAAGTTACTTAATTACTTTACATACTACTTGACACTACTTTACATCCACATTGCATACTACACCACTACACACTAATACACTACTTATACTTAACACCCAAAAAGGAAATAAATAAATAAATGAATGAATAAACAAATAAGGTTTACAAGGCTTACAATACTACATAAGCTTTCTAACAATACAGAAAAAAGTGTCTATACAATAAATATACAATAAAAAATATACAAATAAGTGTCTCTAATAAATGAGAGGCTTTCACTTTCCTTCCTGGATTTTAAGTCAGTTGTTCTTTATGGCCATAGATCGTTCAATGGATTCTATGTGATCTAATTTTATCATGAGATAACGCAATGATGGTAAATTATTGTTCAGACAACTGTTGTAGATAACTAGTTTTCCAGCGATGATATGATTTAAAAGCAACCAATGAGACCTTTTTTGCGTCAATCAAAAAATTATGTCACAGTTGTTTAGAGAATCAATAGTAATGTGCGAGGATTTAAGCCAAAGAACAACAGACATCCAAAATGCTACAATGAAATCACACCTGCAAAAAAGGTGCTCAAGAGATTCATCTGGAATTTTGCAAAAAGTGCAGAGGGGTGAATTCATTTTCATTTTGTATAAGGATTTGTTAGTATAAATTATTTGATTTATTTACTCATTATTTTATGAACCTCTTAGTTATAGTTTTTAATACTTTTAAAATAATTTAGAGTAGAGTTACTTGAGAAAACTTTTTACTCGAGTGGCTGAATGTAACTGTATTTAATATATACACAAAGCTGTGGTCTAAGGAAAGTTACAAGGAACCCAAAAGATTCCTAACTATGAAATCCTGGGCGCTCAGCACTTACATTTGTATGAAAAAGGTAAGTTTTTTCAGTCACTCAAAGACAAAAGTTAGTCACCTGTGGCACCCAGGCACTTCTAGGGCACAGCCCTGATACAAGTAACAGATTTGACATTGATATTTAACTTGTTTTATACCCAGTACCCAGTGCTCCTCCAGCTAATGTCCATCTGCAGTTAGTGGGTTTGTCATCAATCACTGTGAAGTGGGAACCTGTTCCTAAAGGTTCAAGAAATGGTTTCTTGAGAGGATACCGAGTGAGATATCGACAGACTTTCAGCAATGGAACTGACGGTGAAATCAAAACTCTATTCATGATGTGGCCTGTCACTAAAGCCACTTTAACTGAACTCGAGAAGGCTTCTGTATACAAAATTGAAGTAGCTGGGGTTACGTTAGCAGGCACTGGGGTTTATTCAGAGCCAGTCACAGCTCGGACACGTAAGCTCAAAACTGTTTAATTTTAAAATTGAATGGAAGTACTTGAAATTGTAAAGACATTCATGCCAACGTTTCCTTCCTGTTTCAAATCAATGTGCTTGTTTTATTTTGCAGATGATGATCCTTGTACCTCTGGTCTGTGTCTTAATGGAGGCACATGCGTAATTGACCAATTAAGTGACTCCTCCAGTAATTTGTTCCACTGTGCATGTGCTGTGAATTTCACTGGTGAACTTTGCTCAGACTTCAAGAGTGGTAAGTGAGATTTATTACTTATGGCAAGATATGGTTGGAATAACCATTGCTGATGGAAACACACCTTCTCAATCCAAGTGGTAAAGTTTATTACTTTTCAGTCTAGTCAGGGTCAGTTTCTAGGTCCATACCAGTTCAATATTTCTGTACTCCTTCCTTTGCTCCTTAATTCTGTTTCTTCGTTCTTCAATCCCCAGAGTCTGTCACTCCTTCCTTCCTTCCTTCCTTCCATCATTCCATTCTTCCATTTATCTATCTATCCATCTATCCATCCTTAAATGTTTAGACAACACAAACCTAACATTCTCAAGTTTCAGTCTGCCAGTTTTGCAAGATAAAATGAGTAAGGATCTTAAAGAAATTGCCATCTGGCCTAATGTGAACAATCTTACCCTTACTCTGCTGAAGACAGATTTCATTTTAAGAGATCGGGTCTAGACAGAGAATTGCTGCTCTTGATGGTAATATAGAACTTTCCTTGTCCAGTAAGGATATAGGGCAAGTGGAATCCACTAAATGCTTAGGTGTTAGTATTGATAAGAACCTGACGAAGTATGGCCACTTGCAAAGCATAAAGTGACCTCTAATTTAAGAATTCTGAAAAAGGTTAAGCCATTTCTAAAAAGTGAGAACCTTGTTTTATAAAGGTCAATTATTGAACCTTATTTCAGTTATTGTTGTATAGTGTGGGATTCAGTAGGTGACACTTAAAGCAACAGTCTCTAAAGGCTTCAAAACAGAGCAGCTCATATTATCACTGGTGCTTCATGTTCTAAACCCTCTAGGGAAATTTTTAATGAATTGGGCTGGACCCAATTAAATTCCATGAGGCAATTTCACAAGGCTATTATGATGTTTAAAATTGTTAAAGGCTTGGCACCTCCATACCTTACCCAAATGTTTACTTTTAATTACACATACCCTAAATAATTAAGGTCTGAGATCTTCCAATTTCGACCTTGAACTGCCTAAATGTAGAACCAATTGTTACAAGAATAGCTTTGCATTTAGTGGCGCTAAGGTCTGGAATGCTCTCCCTCACCATCTCAAAGAGGAAACATCTTTGAATAAGTTTAAAAGTGAGTTAAAAAAAGGTTTACTACTGGCATCAGTTAAGACAACTAAATAGTTAGCTTCACCTCGTTGTAATATTTGCTTCCCTAAGTTGCTTATATTTCAAGCTACTTGCTGTAATAAACTAGTGATGCATGTAATTGGGAATTGTACAGATTTTATGGAAACCAACTTTTAACTTGTACATTTTAATTTGATAAAGCTCCTTGTTTAAATAAAAGATTCAGTCCATTCATCCCTTTTTATTTATTTATTTATTAATTTGTAGAACTTATTTATATATATTTAATTAATTAATCATTCATGTGTGCATTAATTCATAATTCATATTTTATAATTTTTGAAACTTCACTTTTTTATTTATTACTATTTATGGCATTTCAAAGTCATCTTGACTCAATTATCACGTGGAGAAAATAATGGGGTTAAGATGACTCCTAGTCTCCTTTCATTTACTTTTGTAAGTAATTGTGGTGAAGCTCCTGTGCGCCAAAGGGACATGAGCAGAGCCCCATGCCTTACAAAATTTGTCACGTGACTGTCTGTATGTGCGTACATACATCCATCTGTATGCCAATACCTTGAAGAAATAAGAGAGTAGCACCATAATATACCATAGCTACATCTTTGATTTTGGGCATCCATGTTATGGTTAACTGACAGCTGTCAAAATAAGCTATCTGTTGACCAGTATCACGTGACCATATCATAGGCTCAGGTTTAGAGCTCATCAAGGTCACATGTTTTTTTGAAGTTGACCGCTGACCAGAGACTGGTTTTTTTGATTGGATCGCGGGTTCAAGTTAGGTTATTACCCTGGGGGAGAAGGAGGGAATATGTGCAAGGCAAAATTTTGATGCAAATTAACCCCTGGCACATTGTTGACTTTTCTCCCAACATGTTCCTTGCACAATTGTCTTGTCGGTTTTTAAAATTTAACTGGAAAAAATGGCAAAACCCCTAGCTGACCAATTAAATGCTCACAATTGATCATTTTTTGAGTTTCTGATCCAAGAAAAACAAATACTCTTGTTTCTTTATGGTTAATTACTTATTGCAGTCAGGAGCTCCGCTTTAGGCTTGGCTAAATCTATGTATAATTTATTCATTATATATTTACTGATTTATTTATATATATTTACTTCAATTAGACCTTCCATGCAACAGCCCAAATGTGAGTCTCCCTAGTTTATCTCCAGATGTTTCTTCAGCCTCAGACATTTACCGTTCAAGCCAGTTTATAATCCAGTCTGTTGTAGGTCTCGATTGTGAGTTGTCTCCTAGAACCACATTCATATGGAATGTTTACCAACTTAACGCAGAAGAGATACCAGTACTTTCAAGAAACAGCTCCCCTGAGCTGCGAGTCACCCCACGTTTATTACCAATAGGTGTTTATTTGGTGCGACTCACTGTTAACATGCTGGAAACACCGGTGTTTGGGGTCGGTCAAGGTTATTTCAAGGTAATCAGTAGTCCTCTGGTTGCAATCATTGCTGGGGGAAGCAAGGTGGCAAGAGGATTCAATAGGACTCTTGTTTTTAATGCTTCCATGTCATATGATCCTGATGAGGGGAATCAGCATTTATTAAGTAAGTAATTTAATTTATTAAATGGTTGCCATTTTATAATACTGATGTAATTAATTCTGTAAATAACATGCAAAAAAAAGTTGTCTGATTGATTGATTGATCAGACAATCTCTGTAGTTTTGGTGAATTCACAATATTAATGCTTGACTTTCACGATTTAGCATATTTGGACTTGTACGTAGAATTAATGATAACTTACGGAATTAGCACTTTGGACTACTTGCACTTATAAATGAAAGAATGCACTATCAATGACAGACTGACAGGATGATCAAGACAGACTACTGGAATAAACTGACTGACTGACTGACTGACTGACTGACTGACTAACTGATGAGACCTGGACTAAATGAATGAATGACTGAATGAATGAATATATGACTGAATGAATGAATGAATGAATGAATGAATGAATGAATGAATGAATGAATGAATGAATGAAAGGGAAAAGGAGTGACACATTATATTAATTAATTATTGATGAATTCATCAATAATTAAAAGATTATGATCATCGTCATCATCACCACCACCACTAATTTTACTTGTGAATCTTTCACAGCTCTCAATTTTACATGGTTGTGCAGACAAGAGTCAGGTCAAGGAGACTGTTACAAGACTGGTGACATTAAGGTAGAATCCAATGAACCTTTACTGAAATTAAACAGCAGTCTGATGATGGAGAACAGTTCATACTTTTTGACAGTTTTTGTTAAGAAGGATGTGAGGCAAGCTGAATACACTCAGGAAGTGTTTATTGTTCCAGGTGATCCACCAGAAGTACAGATAAGGTTTGTTACATGTATGTAATAGTTAATTACATTGCATTAAATTAAATTGTAATAAGGCTAACTCATTATTCTTTTTTTGATCTAAATTACCTAAAGAAGACATCACATAAAATTATAAAATTAAAAAATTGAAATTTAGAAATAAAAGTATAAAATTTTGCTAAATTATATTTTCTGGGGAATCATCTGCACAGCATTGTCAAGGTAACTGGGTTACTTGCAATACCATTTAGGAGATAAAAAATTATCGCATACTGCAATATTGCACTTCAAAATGTCCTTGTGGTGATGCAGGCATATGCAGAGTATGTTTTCAAAGTAAGCCACTATAAACAGGAACGTGCCATCAGGGAAAGGAAACTGAAGTTTTAATAATTCCTTTGTCTTGGGTGTGGCTCTTAACTGGGTAACATTACTTGTAAGAGTGATCGTTAACAGAGTTAACTGTATTGACTGCTGTGCAGTGTTACCTTTGTTAGGAGTGAAACTGAACAGCATCCATGCCCCTCAAAAAATGTATTCTGGTACTTTGTAGGAATTTAAGTCTTTTAATATTGAAGCCCCCTCTGGCATGGGGTGGGAAAAGGGATTGATACTGATAGGCCTGAGGCCAGACAATTGTGGAAGTAAAACTATAGAAAAAATTACCTGGTTCTAAGTTCCTCATAAAAAAACCCAGTAATTTTAAAAGACCAGGGATGCCTTAAGCTGCCTGTACCATTGTTTACTGACAGAAAAAAAAATTCTTTACTGACAGTTTGAAGGCGGTTATGAATTACTGCAACAGTGGTTTAATCATGGAGAGCTTAAGGTCAAATAATACCTTTTTGAAACATCTTATTAGCCCATTGAATGTTATCTTTATTGTTTCCTTCTTTGAGTGGTTATCACTTGGAAAAATGGGTCAACCTTGGAAAAAAAACACTTAGAAACATCAGCTAAAAAGACTTAATATCTCCCCTGAGGGACTCCCCCATGAAAAGGTTGGGTATCTCAAAGTCTCGCTTAGAGTGTAAATCAAGGATTTTGGTCTCAATTTAAGGGTGTTCAGGATGAAACGCCACTATTGTAAACTGTCAAAGCATCTTTTTAGGGTGCACTCGAAGTGATGACAATTAAAAAACATTTTTTCCGTTTTTAGGCAAGATTTTCACCACTCTCTGTAGTCCGGTCTACTAGCTCGGGCTACCTTCCCGAATAGCGGCTGGAAATCAATCCTATCTTTTAGGTGTCAAATAAAGCTCAAGCCACGCCCAGAATTGTTCTCCTTTAGGGGTTTAATTCAAATTTTCTGACAAGCATCCTCGACTTTTAATATGGGAGTTCCACCGGGCTAAAAATTCAGCCAATCAGAGTCTCATTCTGTATTACCTTGTAATTTAACAGCTGCGTGGATAACTGTGATGTTAAAATGAACCCATCCGGTAGAATTGCTCTACAAGGAATCTGTGCGGGCGCTTCATGTGGAGGCACTCTTACTTACAAATGGTCCCTTTTCCAAGACACAAGCAACACCTCCAACAAGACCCACTGGGCTGAGGTCTCGGAAATACAGCAATTGTTAAGTACCAGATTGTCATCAACAACCCTGGTCACTTACCCTCGAATATTGGCGCCAGATGTCCGGTACAAGTTTGTGTTGACTGCCCAACGGCATGGTGGATATCCGGGATATTCCGAGTACAAGGTGACTGTCAACAGTCCCCCTGTCGGGGGAACGTGTGAAGTCAGTCCAGCATCCGGGGTCACTCTTACAACAAAGTTTACTTTTACGTGTACTGACTGGCAGGACCCTGATCTTCCGTTGCAATACGAATTTGTTTACTTCACAAATAACGACCTTCTGAATGTGGTCTACCAAGGGGTGCAAACAAGTAAACAGACGAACCTTCCTCTTGGGGAAAAGGCAAATAACTTTACTATTGACTTTCGAGTGCGAGTGGTTGACATGTTTGGAGCCTTTACTGAAGTGACGATTCCTGTTCAGGTAGGAAAGACTTACCACTGAATAAGAAACTTTACAACACAATTTGAAACTCTTCAAAGGCCCTGTGCACACTAACGTTGCCACAACCTCGTCTCCAGATCACTACCGTATTCGCAGCGTTTTTCCTTCTGATACGCTGTGAGAAAACAATTCAACCGTCATTGACGCATGTTACAGATAGACGCGAGAGCGAAGTTTGCCGCATTTCTGATTTCAGAATGTCTCCTTTCTGTACAGCGTTTTCAAAATTATGCTTTATATGCGATAGGCGTCAACCAGTTTTTTTGTGTGAACGGCAGAACTTTAAGAAGTTGGCTTTTTCAAACGATCGAAAACGAATTAATCTGGTTGGGGCCAACGTTTACAGAAAAGTGCATACCTATAAGGAGGTTTGACAATTTTTGACAATGCTCAATGCTACGTTTTGAGTGTTTCGTTTCAACGGTTTTGGTTTGGCTGTCTCATAATAAGTGTTTAAGCTATTTTTTTCGAATGAAATTCATTATGATTCCCTTCCAAGGATGGGATCTGTAGAGTGTATACAGGAAAGAGAAGTTGACAGGATACAATTTCAAGCGAAAAACACTTTTGTTCAAGACTCTGTTATAAAAGTGTTGTCTGGATGATTCAACATCATTGTTCTCAAAATACGTTTTGATTAGTCATGATCAGTTTTCTTCCGAATGGCTTGGTTCAAGTAGCCGCACTGTAATACTGACCTGGCGTTGTTTTCGGTTGAATAACAGGTGACGGAACCCAGGCTCGAGGCGGCAAATCTGATGGACGTTGTCTCGAACCTGACAACTGGAGACGGAAGTGAACTGACTTCTTTAATCCAGTCAGGTGACCTGTCAAGTGCTGTTCAATTGGCTACAGCAGCCATTGCGGCCGTTGATGTTGCTGCACAAACTCAGAGAGAGAATCAGGATGATCAGACTGAGAAAAGGATTGCGGTAATTCTCGTTGAGGAAACTCGACCTTTTTATAAACTGCAGGGAACGATGACTGTGGTGTTGTAACTGCTTCTGACCAGTATTACAATGGCACTTGATTGTTGTCTAGCAGTTACTCAGGCAGTGACAGACCATGACGAATGAATCGTTTTAGAAACTAACACGAAAGGTTTTTGAACGAGGTATAGGTCAAGAGTCAAGTACAAATTTGCCCCGTGAAAACGAACATTCAAACAACTAGAGGCACGTTTTCAATACGCCAGGCATCTGTTCCTGCTTTGGGATTTTGGGATAATGTTATGTTAATACTATCTCAAACTTGGTGACAAAATTGCTATATGTGCGGCCAGCAACCCGTACATATAAAGAGCTTTATTAGGATATAATAATACAGGTTAAGAGTGCATCACACATCGGAAATAACGACAAGCCCAACTTGCTCATTCTGTCTATTCTAAAATAAAACCTGGTGTACTATCAACCCTATTTTTTTGCACCAGGTCTCTCATCTCGAAACAACGGTATTAAAATATCTTATACCCAGCACTAAATGATATCCGGTGCAATAGCGTAGCGCATCTTTTCTCGTATATTTTTTTCTTGGCAGATGAAATCCAACATCGTGCAGCAGTTATCAGCTGTTCAAGTAGAGACTGTGGCTAGAGTCCAGCAGGTGTCAAATGTGATTGCTCAGGCAACTTCGGTCATCAGTGAGGTTACGGTCGAAGCTCAGGTAATTAAAAGACACTGGAACGGTATCATAATCACATTGCATCGGTTTATTGATGATAACGAGACAACACATCTCGGAGGTAGTCTTCTTTGCAACTAACAGCTGTGTTTCGTCCACCTCTTGACATTTCTACTGCTGCTGATCACTTCAAAAGCAATGATTTAATAGCCTATCGTTTTTCCTTTTTCTTGTCTACTTTTCAGAAGCTTGCAACAGACGCTCTTCAAAAGATGACTGTAGTGTTTAAAAAGGAATCTACTGCCGGGGAAAGTTACGAGACGCTATTTGATGGTGCCAAGAGTCTAGTGACTGGTCTCGCAAGCATTCTACGAGTGTCATCACATGAGGCAAGAATATACGATTCTGAGTCGCTCCATGAGTCTCCCACCAGCGACAGCTTCATAGCCGCGCCAGATGCGCAAAACTTACGCAAATACCAGACTGAACGAAATTATGGAAAAATTAAGACTTCATTGTTATCATATCTCTTATTAAAAAGGATGAAAAGAAATGCAGATTATGGAGAGTCTGAAGCACAGCCGCAGGTATGGTTTTTTTATTGAATAGGACAGCGATATGATAGTAATCATGGGAATAATGAAATAAAAGAAACGAAACGACGAAAAAGCAAGGTGGATAGGACAATTCCAAGCACTCCCATATCCAAACCCTATTTATGACAATGTTGTGTGACTAAGTCGTTTAGTCGAATAAGGTTTTCTTATATTACATGCATTTTCTAGGCTAAAAACCAAGTAGGGAGTATCTTCTACTCTCTGGAGGAAGTCGGAGGCACGATCTTGTCCCGAACTCTCGTCGGAGAATCGCCGAGTGAATTTTCAACGCAGTCGATGTCTCTGCTTGTTTCCCGAGAGGATCCTGGCTTGCTAGCTGGTTCTGTTTTGTCCAGCAAAGGAAGTAGTTTCACTTTACCTTCAATTCCAAACTTGTTTGGTAGTGACACGCAGTTTGTCGATAGCCAGGTAGGCACGAACTAGTACTGGTAATATATACAAATGATGTCATGGTACCCTCGAGCACTATTTATTATTGTTAGCTCTTTGTATATTTGATATCTTGCTTTTGAAATTGTGATCAGTTTCCCCAAATCAGTGTTTTACCGTGATGTTAAATGTAACGCGCAACATCTATTTGATTATTTTCGGTTTTCTCAGTTGCTCTAAAGGTAAAGGGCAGTTAAGATTAACTGTGTATCTATGTAAAAATGATATGCCTTAGTGAATAGTTATCTGTTGCATACTGAGATACTGAGAGTAAGAGTGATTTTGGGAAATGTTTTTGGAAAAAAAAAATGCCTTGCTTGTTTTGCACCAGTGGTGATTGTTTTCCCATATCTATGTTATATCACGCAAAATCGATGAAACCGGTTAGATTACGTTCAACGAATTAAAGATATGTTTTCTCTCGGCACCTGACAGATGACTACAACGAACTTCATGCCTTTCTCCTGGGACTCCTCTGGTGCACGAGTGACTACAGGAGTGTCAAGCCTTGTACTAAAGAACAGCACTGGACATGTTTTAAATATGACAGAACTGGAATCTCCGATATCTATCAAGCTTCCTAACACTCATGATTTGACAAACAGTTCCCGATCCCATTACGTTAAAACAAACAGAACTGTTTTCCACAAGATCAATGTAACGCAGTCAGGCATGACTCTGGTGCTAAAGGTGCGTCCAGAAAACAACGCAGCAGAGTTCTCGATGTCGGTTAAATACGGGGAACGGCCGTCTCCTAGCGACAGTGACCTCAATAAGACAATACCTGATTTTTCATCGTGCGTGTCTATTTCATCTGGGTACGTGAACTGCTCACGCGATCCGTATACAGTGTTGGTAAATAATGTTATCGCTGGGAAAATAGGATACTATTTCATTGGGATAACAGCTAAGGCAAAGATTTCTGGAACATCTCGAGTCAAGCGCTGGCCAGGCCCGGGACGGTCAAAGAAGTCTTGTGTGCAGTACAAGGAGCCGCCCACTGCAGGTGCCACCTATCACGAACCTCAGTACCTCACTGGAGATGAAAACTACACCATACAAGTGATACCAGCTGCTTGTCTGTACTGGAACAACGAAGCGTCTGAGTGGACAACAGAAGGATGTGAAGTGAGAAAGGGACATTATTATAACTGTGTAGAAGTAGAAATTGGTCATCACCCCAAGTCGGTCGAGTAGGTCCTGTCGTGCCCTTAACTATAGTAAATATACTATAGAATGTCGCGATTTTTTCTGTTTAAACAGTGATGCATAGTTTAAGACCTTTTTGCGCTGATTTGCTTGAATTAAGCAACTTTTAGCATTGCAAGCCTTCTCCTCTCACCCTCCTTTCCCTTCACACACGCATCTACGTCTGCACTTACCTTCAGTGGATTGTGTACTTTCAGGCAGCTGAGACAACAACCCAAGACTCCATTCACTGCTATTGTAATCACCTGAGTTCTTTTGGAGGTCAGTTGCTTGTGGCGCCGAATCCCATAGATTTTGATCAAGTATTTACTGAGCTGACTCGCCTTTCAGAGACTGGAAACGTAGCTGTTATAATAGCGGTAAGCTGTGTATTTGGACTCTATCTGCTGCTCCTGCTCTGGGCTCGGAAGGTTGATAAGCGCGATCTTCTTAAGGTAAGCGGATTTTTTTTTTTTTTTTTACTTTTTTACAACACTATTCGAAGTCATAATGCAATATTTAGAAGGTATGTAATAGTCAATAGATAGCAATTAACTGCGAACAGTTAGGGGAAACAAAATCGTAGATATCTTAACTACAAATATCATAACGTAGGCATGTCTCCATTCAGACTATTCTAGTATCCATTTTGAGGGGCTATTTATTTTTATCATAGTTGTTGCATTCTCAAACTCATTAATAATTCATCAAGTTTAAACAAAGGAAATCCTGACGGAGACGGTGTTTGGATATCTGATCTTAATTAGAGTTTTTTCACTTTTTTACTATTATGATTCTCTGTGTTTGAACACATTTCCGAACACCTCGAAGGTGGTGAAAAATATTCGTATTTTCAACTCTTCTTGGTGTTTGGAAATGTGGTCAAACACAGTCTTTCGTGTTTGATATATTGCGTGAGATCACTGTTACGCCTCTTGGAGTATTGACCGAAATTTTATTTCAGGGCAGGAATGTATAGAATAATTACACTTGGTCTTGCTTCATTTTCTTTCTGTTTCCTACCGCAGGTGGGTGGGAGAACATTCTTAGGTGTTCGTTCAGCTTCGTCCAACGTCTACGAGATACAGATATCTACTGGCATTTGGCGTAACTCCGGTACTACTGCAAAAGTATTTATTATGTTGGAGGGCGAGCTGGGTTCTAGTCGACCTTGCCATATGAAAGATGACTCGTGCATTGTGTTCGCAAGAGGGAGCATAATCTCGTTTGTCCTTTCCACCCAAATCAACATTGGCCCTGTTCGGAGTGTACGCGTGTGGCACGATAACTCAGGCACCAGTCCCTCGTGGTTTTTGAACCACATCAAGGTCTGTAACGTAACCACTCAGGAGCACTGGAACTTTCCGTGCTTCATGTGGCTGGCTGTGGACAAAGGTGACGGTTTAGTCGATCGATCCCTTAGTTACTCTTCAACAGCCGATAAAGGAAGGGATTTTACACTTTTTGTGCAGAATAGGATAGCTGAAGAATTCAGCGACGAGCATCTGTGGTTTTCTGTCGCAACAAGACCTCCGAGATACCGGTTTACTCGAGTACAGCGGTTGTCATGCTGCCTGTCGCTAATGCTGAGCACCATGCTGGCTAGTGCCATGTTTTACGAATTTGACAGCGGGGCGGACAGTACCCAGGGCTTTCTTAAGTTGGGCCGTTTTGTCATAAACCTGCAAGAGTTTATCATTGGGTTGGAGAGCCATCTTATTATTATACCAGTTAATTTGCTGATCGTGGGAATCTTTACCTACACAAGGTCACCCATTGAGAAGAAACGGTTGCAAAAGAGAACTGATAACTCATGGATACCCGTGAGGAAGAGATGTCAATTTTCTCTTCCACACTGGTTTATTTTTGTTCCCTGGCTACTTTGTATTTTGTTATCGGTTTGCTCGGCTGCTTTTGTTGTCATGTATAGTTTACAATGGGGTGCAGACACTAGCGAGAGTTGGCTGATTTCAGTGGGGATGTCACTTTTTATGGACATATTTGTATCAGAGCCTCTAAAGATCATTTTCGTTGCCTTCATGCTGTCGCATATTTGCGCGGCAGGGCGGGCTGATCAGTCCTCTCAGACGAAGTACCTAGTCGATACGGTTACTGATTTCGACGATATCAAACTAAGTGGGATAGACAATGAAGAGGAAGATGTTGGCATACCGAAGCCGCCGAGCAAGAGACGACTACGTCATGCGAGGGCCACTCGAATGAGAGAGCGTTATATGTATACAGCTCTAAGGAATATGGTGTCTTACATTGTGTATTTTTGGATTCTGATGGTTGTCTGTTACAGGGGACGTAATGAACACGGGTACCTGATGACCTCGTCCATGAAGAAGACGTTTGGAGAGCTTAGCAATGTACGTGTACGCTACAGATAAACGTCTTTGTAATTACGGTCTCTTAATTTTATGGGAAAACATGGCAGCTCAAAAGAGTACGTCATCCCTTTTCCTGTGACCGTATATCGCGCAACACCTTATGTCATTGTTCATGTGAAACGAAAACTCTTATCATTTAGACTGACATTCTTGTAACCAGCATCTACACCTGCATTATTTTTTAAAGTAAATGAAACCTATCTTTTGCAAGTTTAGGTAGATAATTTTCTAGTCATTGTTTTATATCAGCATTTTATAAAGCTAGCATTATTTCTTTTCTGTTTTCATGTTTAACCGTTTTCTAGATTTCCAGTCACATGAACACGTGGGACTGGGTACGAAACGTTCTAGTACCGGGGCTCTATGATGATGGAAAAGACCTTTCATCAGTTAGTTCCGGTCCATACGTCGGCGATGGTGACGCGGTTCTCGTTGGTATGCCACGCCTCCGACAGCTAAGGGTCAAAAAAGGTATGTAATAGTTGTTTTTGCTCACAAATTCGAGGAGATCTAGATATTTTCTCCATAGATATTTGCTAGACAACGCGGATGTATGAGTTGGTTTACTCGGTTTGGAATATTTACCTTTTTCCGAAAAAGGAGCAGTACCTTTTATAAATATTTGGAATACGTAAAGAAAAGGTAGTCTCTCGGTCGAGTTTTTGGCTCCGTAAACCAGTCAGGTATAAAACTATACCACCATGCCTATTTGTACAAATAACTCGAAGTTATATACCCTTGCTTTGTATGAGAGGCGGATGTAACCAATACGAGCAGTCGAGTTGAGGATAAAACAGCTACTGACTTATTTTTAAGTCTTCAGTCTGTCCTCGTGCGAGTTCAGTGTAGAAATTCAGTGAATAAATTCCACCTGTTAGACGCATACTTTTTATTATTAATGATGCTTCTTTTCATTGAAGATTGCTGCTACGTTGTAGATGAAGTACGAGGCCTGTTCAACTCGTGCGTTGCTTCGTATACATACAGTAATGAAGACAAGACCGCCTTCTATCAACCAAAATGGCGCCCATTCTCTTCGTCGGAAAACATGTCAGTTGCCCTGCTTGACCAGATCTGTCCCAGCGCGTGGCGTTATTCATCCCCCACGGAAACACAGATTCTTCCTTTTCGTAGTTATGGTCCAGGAGGTTACATGGCAGAGCTGGGCTACGACAAAAACACTGCGCTGAAAGTGATATCCGAACTAAGCATGTTTAACTGGATTGACAAGTTTACTAGTGCTGTAATAGTTGAATTTACAGTTTTCAACCCTCATGTGGGTCTGTTCAGCACTACATGGATACCTATCGAGTTCTCACCAAGTGGTTATGTGGCTTCTAATCACATGATTCGTACCATGCACGTGTACGACCTTGGTGGTGGCTACAGCGCTGTTACTATACTCTGTCAATTATTACTGGTGATTTTTATTATGTACTTTATCGTCGTGCAAACGAAGCAGATGATTCAAAACATTCGGCTTCACTTCTCTCAGTTAATCAACTGGCTGGAACTTGCGCAGACTGTAACAGTCATTGTTTTTGTTGTTACTCACATTTTGAAAGAAACGGAGCTCTTTGCAAACACGGCGAAACTCAGTAAGAACATTTTCCAGTTCCTCAGCTTCGATAGAAGCGTTTTTCTTTATAACATGGAATCAGTGTTCCTGGCCTTACTGATGTTCTTCAACACTTTTAAGTTACTGTATTTACTCAAGTTTAATCGCCATGTGCAACATTTGTTCCATGTAATGAAGAGGTCTGTTCTGGAACTCATTCACTGCTCGCTTGGATTCGCAGTGTTTATGTTTACATGTATTCATGTAGGATACCTTGTGTTCGGGACGCACCTTTACGGATATTCTTCTCCCTTCAACGCGTTACAGTCTTTCCTCGTCCAGGGAGTCATCAATGGCGAGGTTGACCATTTCCACGACTGCTGTGCAATTATTGGTCCTGTATACATTTTAGTTCTAAATCTGGGTGTTAATGTTGTCTGCATTAATCTCTTCATTGCTGTTCTTATACAGAATTATGGAATTGTTAAACGACTTTCCAAAGGTAAATTTAGTCTTGGAAATTTCATGATTATAAAGATGAAAGAGATACTTGGTTGTATTGGAGATCAACCAAAACCACGCAAGAAGAAGAAACGCACAAAAAGGCGAATCCCTAAAATCGAGGTTCCTGACATTAAGATCACGGACGATGCATCTGAGCTGGTGGATGATTTAGCGAGACAGACGAGACGGATCAGACAAAGCCTCAATGAACTGTATGCCGACGACTTTGGCGAGGACTCCGACTTGTTTTCTTTGTGGCTTGAAATTCACACGAATGTCAAGGAATCATCTGAGGATGCAGGATACTGCGCGCTTGCGTAACTAACACAGTTAAATGATGGCCTGTGAGTTAGATTTTAGGCATCACTTCTGTAAAGAAAGCAAGTTAGTGGAACACGAATATTTTTCTCAAGTGGACATAATTATGGAGTTTTTTAGTCTTCAAATCTCCTCCAGGAAAACGAGCTTTGGTCAGCTACTTACTTACCAATTGGTGATATGAATGAAGTACGGTATTGAGATCTTTTTCAAATGACGGGATGAAATCGTTTCTGTTTTATGATTTGTGAGGACGTTTTCTTCGTCATGCAAAACATTCGACCGTTTCTTGTTTAATTAATTCTTTTAGATTCATTTAGTGTTTTCATTCAGTTCTAACGGTTTTTACAGTTGGTGTGTTGTCTTGAGATTTTACGGACTCAACCTATGTAGATGTAGAATTTAGCCCAGATCATTCCAAGCAACCTATCTAGACAGTTGTGAAAACTGATCTCCGGAAGACTGGTTAAAGTTGGAAGCGGTTTTATCAGTAAATGTCTGTGTTAGCTTGTGGCTGCAGATAAACTTGTGTGTTGTCCATCTCTGGCTTTGGGAGATCACACACCGCTGGAAAGGTTTGCTTTCCTAAACCAATAGCATATTGGTAACACAAAAGTCCAAAAAATGACTAACATAATCAGATATTGTAAGTCGTGAGTGTTATTATAACACTCCCATAAAAATATAAAAATATCGCAAAATGGCGCTATTACGTTGGCAAAATAGTGCTACTGTACTATACGAAGATTATGCTCGATAATCTCCCCCTCCCCCTGTAGTGTTATACTTGACAACCCCTACTGCACGTGAGAAAGAGCGGCAGAACTAGAGCCTGATTAGTTTCTAGCTTTGTAGTTATCCACACATAAGAACAGGTAACCTCTTCCTGCAGCTTTGTAATTTATTTACTTTCATAAATTCTTTCTTAACACTCAATTTAAATAACCTATCTAACAATAAATATATAATTTCTCTTTAACAAAGAAATGTTTTCGAAAGGATTTAACTTAAAATAAATATGGAATCAGATATGCATCCTTCAAGAATTAAGACCTCGAGAGGTCGAATAAAATTAAGAATATTGCAATTTACATTTTTCCCCAAACGGCGAGCGTCAGCTGTTTAATACTTGGTAACAGATACGATAACCTATAAGTAAGATTTATTTTTGGTTTGGTTTGTGATCAAGATTTCCCAATTTAAATGCGCATTGTACAATTCAATTTGTTAGCTGAACTTATATCTAAATTGTGATGACAGTGCTTTAGTATCGGGCCAAATTTGAAAATGTCAGATTTCTTCCATCCTTTCGCCGCTTTCCATCAATTTCGTGGTAAACAGATACCACACAAAAAAAGTCGTACAAAAAGCATTAAAAAGAATTACCAGCAACAAAGGCCATGAAAAATAACATATAAAAATAATTAAAACATAAAAACTGGTTAATCTCCATTGAGACGCGCAAAGAAACGCTAATGCAACTGTCTTCTTGTTTTTAATATTTGGAAAAGTTTTGGATCTTTCATGAGGATTTGCCCTAAAACAGCAACTTCTCCCTCGAATAAAATTAATTTGGGATACCTACCACTGTACCATAATGCCTTTTATTTTCGCGAATATAGCAGTTCTAAGTCACCTCATGAAAAATATTTTATTGCGTTTTATGTCAAGTAAGAAAACAGACTGCGTTTCGCTAGCTTTGCTCGCAAAAATGAAAGGCATTAATAACATACTTCACCCTTACATTACTTTCTATCATCTCGTCACTTAGACAATTTTGTTTGCTCTCTGAGATTGCTCTACAATTTTCAGTTTTTTTTTCTTCTATGGGCTGAAGAGTTAGCTCTCTTGTGCTCAACACAAGTTTAAAATATCTCTAAGTAATTAGCTGCAAAATGTAAGAGCTGGCTTAGAAACTGCTTATCGAATTAATTTCAAATACAATGAATCTTAAAGTGGTCAAAATATCATTGTTTCCGACCCGTCATTCAGTATTTTGTAAATGACAACACAACATTTAAACTTGCTACAATGGGCTTAATCCTCTGCAATAGCCTATTAGTGTAAAACGACATGTTAAATGGACATTGTGAATGTTACGTTTTGTGATTAATCCATAACCTTCGTTCATTTTCATATATTTCTGTTTTTTATTTTCACTCACTCAGGATTGGTGGCCGTGTTTTCTTAGTTCGTCTGCCTGCGTCAAGCTTATTATGGAATCCCCGCAATTTCCCGCGGTCTCACATTTTCTTTAAACTGCCCTACGATGTTTCCCGGAGGAAAGTACCGCCCGACGACAACATTTCTCCCATCGGGGGCAACAGCCATTCCCATGCCAAACTCCTCTGTCCCTACCCAAACTAACTGGGTGAAATGGCTCGTATCAGAAGTGTAGCCATGGCAGTCGAAGTCGTAATCTTGCACCTCATCGTACCACATGTCAACCGCCCCACGGGCGGAGAGCGAGCTATCCCATGTGTATGCCAAGTTCTCCCCGCGGTCTTTTTGTCCGCTGTGCGTCAGCGAATTGGTCTTAACCAGGCGCTCTGCGTAATTCTGCGCTTCTGCAGCCAGCAGTGGAGACCAGCGCAACGGTGGGGCGTTGTGAAATGTACGGTAGTAATTATGTGAGATGACGCACTCAGTTTTAAATTTTTCTGATGATGTAAGAAGATTATGAGATGAGTTTACACAAATGAGAATGTGAGTGATAAAATAAAATAATAAAAAAGATAACCTTTTTACCCTCGGCAGTGTTTAAAGCATAAAAGCTAGTAGGGCCGAGGAAACAACAGACACAAATAATTCAAATTGAACATAAAATCGTTAAGCATCCCAACTGGCCGGATGTAAACCATTTGGCTATTTGCAAGCGTGGCCGAGGATTTGAACTTGGGGCTACTCTGAAACAAATCCAGGTAGTGTCGAGAGAAGAACTCGAACCCGAGACCGCTTGATTGCGAGTCCGACGTGCTGACCACTCGGCCACACTGCCTCCACAGTGATGAAATATGAAGCGCAAGTGTGCGAAAGTAGAAGAGACCCATTTAGGTAGTAGGGGTTTTTTCGGAGACTTCAGAAAGCAACTAGTGTTTTTACTTTGGTTTATATAGAGGTTGTCTTGCTCTGCTGTTATTTGTTAGACGTGGACATCACAGCAAATTGCCTCCAAAACCTGAGCGTAACTGTTTTGCTCCGTCATTGGCCAGTCCCGGTGGATTTAGCTGTAGTATTGTAGCTGTGCCCAAATATCGAATTAGCATTTAAAACGCTTATTCTACTTGATTTAGATTTTAATAAAAATTACTCATTGCATATCGCTCTTGATCTTTAACCAGTGGTCTGAAATTAACACGGCTTTCACCAACAAAGTCAGATTACACTGTTACTTTACGCACAGTGTACAGCACAAATGTAACAAATTGTATTGAATGGCGGACATTCAATGCCTTCAAGCTTGAAGTTTTGCAAATCATCAAGTCTATTTGCTACCGGCAGCCAGCAAATCAAAGACCGAAATGCGCATTAGTGTGCAAACCCTAAGTTATTCATTGTCACTACCTCTTTCCGCTGGTGTTACTGGCGGAAGACCCGATCTTGAACGTCTCCTTGCACTTGATCTTCGTCTTTTCAGTCGACCTGACGAATCTCTGGGGGCTTTAACATTGTCTTTAAACTCTCCAACAATGTTTCCCGCCGGTTTATACAGTGCTGCAACATATTGCGTTCCATCGTCAGCGACACACTTCGCTACACCCAACTCGCGCGAGGAGGCCCAAACGACTTGCGTAAAATTACCGCACTTGGCATTGTAAGCTGGGACTTCAAAATTGTAATCCGTGGCTTCTTTATACCACATTTCGACGACTTCAGAGCCATTTAAATCTTTCCCGTGTACGCTCAAAAGGTTTTGGCCTACTGCTTTTCCGTCGCAACGTTCGAGGCAATTCACCGATGCCATACGTTCCGCCCACTCTTTTGCGTCAGCGGCCAGCTCGTCAGACCATTTCAGCGGTTTAACTCTGTGTTGTCGGCGGTACAAGTTGTGTTCTAGGAGACAGTTTTGCTCAAAGTCGTCTAATTCTGTAAAAAAAACAAACTGTGTTACATATCAAGTGCTTAACATTTAAAACTTCAGTTGAAAAGAAAAGAAATCTAACCTTCCAAATCAACAGATGGGGTCGAGGACAGCGATCCTTCACTTGATATATTTTGTTCACCGGAAGAGTCACTACTTAAGTTCTGCTCCGTTTTTTCGTCTTTCGTTTTACTAGACTCAGAGACGTCTTTCTCTTTAGCAGGTTCTTTAGATAAACTCACGTCCTCTTTGTCTCCTCTTTCGCCAGAAGTGTCTTCCACCGTACTCTCTGCAAAACTTTCCTGAGTTGTTATTTCTTCTTGTTCTCTTGAAAGGCTTCCAGAGTGTTCTTGGCATTCGCTGCTAATTTGGTAATCCGCCTTTTCTTCCTCCTTAGCTTGAACTTCAATAGACTCGGCTGCTTGTCGAATCGAAGATGACGTCATGGTCTCGCCTAATTCATCTTCGTGTAAAGTTTCTTCACTACTAGAATGCACATCAGAATGGAATACATCCTCATCTCCTTCTTCTCCTTGGAAACCAGCATTTTCGTCATCACAGTCTTCATCAGACTCGACTTGGCTCAACTTCTCCTCTAAGATAACAAATGACTCCAGCCGCTCGTATTCTTCCAATTGACGCTGTTCCTCTTCATCCAGCTCGTCTTCCGGGGAATCATCGATTTCAAATTCTGGAGATTCCCGGATTTCCTCCAAGGCCATGTTTTCAAATCCTTCTTCGAAGAAACCTTCTGGAACGGGCTCCTTTTCGGCTTTAAGGTCATCCTTGGCGGATTCTACAACGTTGTTCTCAACATCATTTTCCTCTTCAGGAATGACATAGATCTCTCGGTGGTCCGATATATCTTCTTCACCAGAAGATTCAAACTCATCACTATATCGCACCAGTATGAATTCTTCAAGGTTTTCTTCTAAGGGATCTCCCTGTCGCACGTAAGTTTCAGTGTACGAGGCTTCGCTTTCGACTTCCTCATAAGCTGGTTCTAAGCTCTCTGTCGATGACAGCTCTACATAATAGCGTGTGGTAGCACTCTCATCATCCTCGTACAGATCAACTTGGCTCAAGTCGAGCGGTTGCCTCCGCGGTTTTGTTTGCGCTAGTTCGGGGTTTTCTTCATCGACCCATCTTTCGGAAATTCCTGTGTCGTCCGTTGTTTCATGCTCTTCGTCTTTACTCGACACGCCTTGTCCGTCTGTTTCTCTAGAAGCTGAGATATCTACTTCTTCTTCAAACACTGCATAAACCGCGCTTGGTTCAACTTTCTCGGCAGGCTCCCGAACTTCTTGAAACGCTGATACTTGCAATTCCTCTTCCAACTCGGGGGAATGTGTTCTAAGTTCAGTAGTTTCAACTGGCTCACGTTCAAGGTTTTCCTTGACCGGCTCATCACTACGTTCATAAGCTGAAACTTCAACTTCCTCTTCAAACGTAGACGCTTGCATTGTGCTGTCGTTGGTTTTAGGAGACGTCTGTACTTGTTCCTGTACTTTTTGCATTTCCAGTTCTTCCTCATAAATAGGTTGTACTTCGCTGATCTCCACTTCTTCCTCAAAGAGTGGTTCCTGTTGATAACCTTCAGGGACATCGCTCTCCTCCTCTCGGTCAGGTTGGTTTACTTCTTCTAATGAGCCTTCCTTCTGTGCTTGCTCGTGAATTGGTCGTCCTTCACTGATCTCTACCTCTTCCTCGTAGATAGGTTCCTGTTGATCGCCTTCATAGATATCGCTCTCCTCCTCACGGTCACTTTTGTCCATTCCGTCCGCTGATTCTGCCTTGGAAGATCTCGACTCGCTACGATCTATACTTTCCACACCCTCCCCACGGAATTCTTCCTCTGACAACGCTTCATCCATACGCATGATGTCAATTTCCTCTTCAAACTGTTCCCCCGCCGACTCTTCCTCAAGAGAGGCCTCGTCATCTTTCAAAATAACCAACACGTCATCCTGTGTTACAACCTGTTGAATTTCCTGAGCGTCCTTAACTTCAGAGTGGACAATGAAACTCTTCACAAATGTGGTCTCTCTTTCCACGGTTACACGTGGGTTCATCAAGGGAGTCTTCTGCTCTACTGCCTTGTATTCCATCACTTCGGTTTTAAGAAGGCGAACTTCCGTTTCGTCCTCCGAGAGTTGTTTTTCGAACTTCGCAGATTCTTGATCTTTAGCTTCTTTTTCCAAAATACCCTCACTCAGTTCATCAGTTGTTTTAAATTGACGTACGTTGTCGCTCTTTTCCCAAGAAGTTTGGTTACTTGTTTGATGAATTGGAGTAAAAGATACTTCCTGAAATTTCTTGACTTCCTCGTGAAGTATACCTTCGCCTCCATTTTTCTCTGCTTTGTAGCAGATTTCCTCGCTTGCAAATCCAGTCGCAACGTAGGAGTTGGTAGAGGATACCTGACGCGTTGTTTTCGTTGCAAGAACCTCGACTTCGTAAGATGTTTCCATTTTCCTTGCTTTTTCTCCCATAAAGATTTGTTCCCCGTGTTTTGTCTCTTTGCTTTCTACAACCTGGTAGCCTGTAGACTTGATTTCATCTGATCTTTTTTCTGTCTCGCTTACAACCGTGAACGTCTGGATCTCACTTGCGAATCCTTTTTCTTCATTAGGCTCAGAAACTCGGCTTTCGTCCTTAACTTCAATTTCCCAAACCTTTTCTTGGATTTTTTCTTCTCCACGCACACTACGTTCTTGTTCAACGGTTCTTGTGTAATGTTCAATGCCAACGAGAGGCTCTTGTGCGGCGACTAATTGTGCGTTGTCAGTCTCGTCCCAAAGTTTGTCTTGTTGTTCTGCAATCTGCGGACCACACCTGACTTTTTCCGAAACAACGGGTGCAGGCTCCTTTGAACTGGCCAAAGAAGTTTCACGTCCAAAGACCCCCTCCATTTCTTCATATTCTTCCAAAAAGTCTCTTTCACTTAAGTCGTCATCCTCTTCTGCACCAGCATGGTAGTCAGAGTCGGAGAACTCCGCAGCCGTCTGTAGTGGGGGCTCAGAAATGACGAAACTGGTCTCTGTTTCTAAAGGTTCCTCGACTTCGTGGTACGCCTGAGCTGTTTCAATCACAACTGATTTCTCGTTCAAGACATTTTCTTCGTAGATTCCCTGTGGTGACAGTTCTTCTGTTATGTACAGGGATCGTAACCCTTTGGATACTGACTTCTCCGAGATGTAGTCACTTTCCTCGTATGGTATAGCATGGTAAGTTTCGGTACCGTATTCTTCGTTGATTGTTTCATAATCTTGGAAATCTCTGAGTTCACTGGAGACGTGCAAAGGTGACGACGAACACTCAGATATCAATTCTGACGCGGAACCCTCTTCGTTTTCTTCAAAAGGCTCAGCAAATTCCCTTCGTTCTTCTACATCTTCTATCTCTAGTGTAAACTCCGATTCGCAGGAGTCTGCTGTCACATGGGAGTGAGAAACTTCTTGGTCTTCCGTCGGATATGAGACGACTGTTTCTCCGTTGTCTTCGTAACTTTCCTTCTCTATGTCATAGTCGTCTTCTGGCTCTTCTTCTACATAATAGGCATCATCTTCTTCATTTTCTGATAATTCACCAGAAAGGTTTACAAAAATAACGGGCACCTCTGTTTTTTCCCGTTCGTCGTACTGTTGCGCTATCTCGGTTCTTGTTTCGACCACTTCTGTGGATTCCTGCTGTGCGGCATCGATTTTAAGTTCCAATGCAGCGGCAGCAATGCTCAATAAAGATTGTGGAGACTTCAGAACTACAGTGATAGCTTGCACCTCCGTTTCCTCAATCTCTTCAGCGCACGCTCCTTCGTCTGGTTTCTCCTCCTCAGACGATTCCTCTGGTGGTTCAATATTTGACAATTCTCCAGCTACATGAAATGAAGGCTGGGTTGTTTTGAGAATTTGGGTTGTGGTTATCAATTCGTGGCTCTCCTCATACGCCAAACTTTCTTCCACTTGCAAAACCTGTTCCAAAACCTCATCGTGGGTGTCAATGTTTTTTATTTCTCCGGCAATGTGTGCGCTTTGTGATGGATCAATCAATATTTGAGTACCGCAGATGCTCTCAAATTCTTCAAACTGTTCGCCAAAATCTGACTTGGGGGATTCATCGTCAGCTGTTACTTCTAAGAGCTCTGAGCTGGTAAACTCGCCAGCGACATAATCGTTTTGATCTACAATCTCCAGGGAAACATAATCGTAACTGGCCTCATCATAAGTTTCTTCCAACTCTCGAGCGTGCTCTGCATCTGGTGTTGCCTCTTCATGTACTTCTTCAACTGTTAAAATGTCGAATGCTTCACCAGCAATGTGCATGGGAACGGAAGGTGTGGTGATCGTCACTTCATCCACAGACGAGTCTTCCTCCACAAAAAGAGACGCCCGTTTGTTTTCATCACTTGTCACCTCTGCAATCTCTTCAAAACTTTCCATGCTTACACTCTCGCCAGCAAGGTGCGTTGGAGATGACGGTATATCACTTATCAATTCGTCTACTAGTGTTTCCTCTTCTGCAAACATTGATGCTCGTTTACTTTCTTCAAAGAGTGCTTCCTCGACTTCTTCAAAGCACTCAATATTTTGGCTTTCTCCGTCAATTTGTTTTGGTGAGGAAGGAGTGTCAGTTTCAACTTCAACAACATCTGTACCTCCTTCTACATACAGTGATGCTCGCATGCTTTCTTCAGAAGGTTCTTCATCGACGTCTTCAAATGATTCAACATTACTTTCTCCTGCAATGTGCTTTGGCGAAGAGGGAGCACCAGTTTCAACTTCAACAACATCTGTATCCTCTTGTAAAAATATCAATCCTCGTCCACTTTCTTCAACGGGTTCTTCGCAAATTTCTTCAAAGGACTCGGCATGATTACAAGTTTCGCCTGCCACGTGTTTCAGCGAAGAGGGTGTATCAGTTGTCACTTCATCAACAAGTGGTTCTACTTCAAAAAAAACCGATGCTCTTTTGCTTTCTTCAATGTGTTCTTCCTTAATTTCGTCGAAGGGCTCAGCTTGTCGACTTTCGCCTGCAATGTGTTTGGGCGAGGAATGAGTGTCAGTTGTGACCTCATCTACAATTGATTCTACTTCTCCTCTTTTGCTTTCATCGATGGGCTCTTCATTAACTTCGTCAAAGGATTCCGCTTGTCGACTTTCGTCCGCAATATGTTTGGGTGAGGAGGGTGTACCAGTTGCCACCTCATCTACAAATGGTTTTACTTCAAAAATCACTGATGCTCTTTTGCTTTCTTCGATGGTTTCTTCATTAACTTCGTCAAAGGATTCAGCTTGTCGACTTTCGCCCGCAATATGTTTAGGTGAGGAGGGCGTATCAGTTACCACTTCATCCACAAGTGGTTCTACTTCAAAAAACACTGATGCTCTTTTGCTTTCTTCGATGGGTTCTTCAATAATTTCTTTAAAGGATTCAGCTTGACGACTTACGCCTGCAATATGTTTGGGCGAGGAAGGAGTGTCAGTTGTGACTTCATCTACAAGTGGTTGTACTTCAAAAAACAGCGATGCTCTTTTGCTTTCTTCGATGGGTTCTTCATTAATTTCGTCAAAGGATTCAGCTTGACGACTTACGCCTGCAATGTGTTTTGGCGAAGAAGGAGTGTAAGTTGTCACTTCATCTACAAGAGGTTCTACTTCAAAAAACAGCGATGCCTTTTTGCTTTCTTCGATAGGTTCTTCGTCAATTTCGTCAAAGAATTCAGTTTGTAGACTTTCGCCCGCGATGTGTTTGGGCGAGGAGGGAGTATCAGTTCCAACTTCATCTACTAGTGTGTCTACTTCTAAAAACACCGATGCGCGATGGCTTTCTTCCGTCGCTTCCTCATGAATATCCTCAAAGGTTTCAACGTTTCGGCTTTCTCCTGCAATGTGTTTTTGCGACGGAGTGTCTCGCACTACCTCATTTACAATGGATTCCTCTTCCTCAAATAAGGAAGCACACTGTTCTTCTAGGGTTTCGTTTTCTTCTGAAGCAACCTCTGTTTGTTCGAGGGTTGCACCTTGTACAGCAGTACATCTTGGAGAAGAGGGAGTTTCAGTCGCTATGTCTTCTGCTACTGCGTTCTCGTCCATATATAATGATGCTGGCCTGCGTTGTTCAGCTTGTTTCACCTCAATGATTTCCTCTGTGCGTTCACTTTGTCTACTTTCATGAGAAATATATTCAGAGGAAGAAGGAATAAAATACACTGCTTCATCAACTGTTCCATTTTCCTCAACGTAAAATGAAGCTTGCGGAGTTTCTTCGTTTGGACTTGTTTCTGTCACAGCCTCCTCGAGGCGTCGAGTTTCAGCAGCTTCATCTGCAAATGTTGTATCGTCTTCTTCCAGGCGACGAAACATCTCTTCAAAGTTAATCTCAGATTGAACATCTCGACGGACGTCGGCCTCGATATGCTCTGCAATCTCTGGTAACTCAATCACTCTTGATGATTTAGGTGTATGATTATAATGTAACGGCTCCAATGACTCGTCAAAAGAGTGCGTTATGTCGGATGAGACGGTAACTAAATCGAATTCTAAACCAGTTTCCTCAAGAACCTTCGCGCGCTCTTGATCGTAATCATGAAGAGCGGCTTCACAAGACTGTTCTTCCATGGAAGTATCAGTCCTGTCCTGAGTGATTTCGTCCTGTGACTCTTCTTTTTCAATTGAACTCTCCAACCGGACCTCTAGCTCTTTCAGGTCCATTGCGTTTTCAGGCGGACGATCTCGTCTACCTGATTCAATAATGGTCTCGCGAACAAGTTCAACTAAATCTACAGGTTTCGAGGTTTTGCACTCGTAGTGTAGAGATATGTCTGGCTCAGACTCCTGTTCTTCTTCCAACGCGCTCGTTAATACAAGTCCAATGTCAACACCTACTTTTTCTATATCCGCTGTACGTTCGCTTTCATGATCTCTCAATACAACCTGAACGGTGTCCAGAGACTCGGTTGTCTCAAGACGTTCCATACTAGTTTCGTGTATTTTTTTCGCTTTTTCATTTTCTGTCTCGCCATTTTCGAGTTTTTTAAACAAGGCTTCAAAATCTATTTCCGATTCTACGCTGTCTTTAAGAAAGGCCTCGCAGATCTCTTCAACTGGTGTTCTTTCCTGTTGTTGCTCACGATCATTTCTGTTGTTCATAAGATTTTCCACAAACTTTCCTTCCGTTGTTTCGTGAAAATCGGAAATTTCGTCACTGGCCCCTTCACTTTCGAAAGTCGACGAAATTCCCATTCTAGAAATAAGGTCTTCCATTCGAATATTTACGTGATCTTGTTTTACCGCCAAGTAACAAAACTCAGGATCTGACGTTCTTTGAAAAGATGCTTGTGGCACCTCAATTAGCGCCTCGCTAGTTTCAAAACGTTCTTCACTGTACTCATCTGGCACATCTTCCATGAAATTCGGTGGTTCATCTTCGCACAATTTGAAAGTTTCAGTTTTTTGACATTTCGTAGCGGTGCTCAATTTCGTTGACGCGTAAACAGTTTTTGTTGAAGATCGTGGTTGCTCTTCCTCCTCCGTAATATCAGCATACTGGTGTGACGCATCCTCGTCAGAAAAATCAAAGATCTCCATAGCAGATGGCTCTTCTTCCATAAATTCGTGAGTTACGCAGACGCTGTCTTCGAACTCATAATCTTGAAGGCCTTCATGCCTCGTTTCACAATTTGTGTAATCCAGCACGTCCTCTGCGTCCGATACACTTACCAGACTTTCATTTTCGTCTTCGCCCTCGTCGTCGAATATTTCTACGTGTGACTCTGCTTCGTCTCCTTCTCTGTGAGCAGGAAATACGTCATCAAATTCCAACTGGCATTCGTGCTCTTCTTCCATTATTTCTTCTTCTTCCTTCCTTTCTTCTTCTTTGTGAAGCGATTGCCTTTTCTTTAGAGAAGCCAGTTCTTCCAGTTCTTCTTGAATGAGACTTCGCCTAAGTGACGATTCTGAATTGGAGGGCGATTGCCTTCCATGTTGATACGTTTCAAAGAAAGCTATTTTGGAGAGGACGTTTCCTTTATGCATTTCTGGTTCGGTACCATCCGAGTCTAATGAGAGAGAACGTCGAATTTCACAGAAATGTTGGTAAAGATCGTCCTCGGGATCAGAAAACAAATCAGCCTCTTCCAATTCGGCCTTCTCAGTATGTACCAATGGTTCCTCAGTCACACAAGTAAGATCTGAAGAGAAAAGGCACGATGTTACAAGCTAACAGGTAAAGATTGTCACATTCAAGAGAAAAAAGTATGCTTGCGGTAAGTTGCGTTTTGAAGAGGTCAGAAGCCATTACAGAATAAGAAAGGCAATGAGATCTCTAATGATGTACATAAGCTGCAAAACTGGAATTTACTTTTCATGCAATACAGAATGGCCTCTCCTTTAATTTAGATTTGGAAGCTATTATAATGCCTCTCGGAATCCGCTTCAGGAATGCTTGTTTTCTTACCGTCTTCTTCTGTCGCGTTATCCATTTCATACGCTGTCCTAGCATCTTCTTCTTCTTCCTGCTCTCTTTCATCTTCTGGTTCGTCATCATTCTCTTCCTGGGCGGTCTCCTCTGCAACTCCTTTCCTCTGAAGAGTGGGACTGTTAGGATCTATCCACACCAGGCGGGTGAAGTGATCGCTTACAGACAGTGTGTTTGCAGAATCTTGCTCGTCGGCCCTGTGGAGGATATTCTCGTTCTCATCAAACTGGTCCAAGTCACTGAGGGGGGAAAGTGTCAATGACACTAAATCAGCATATCGGCAAACTAAGGGATGAAATCTGATATCATCCATCAAGCGCATGGAAATATAGGCTCCTAAATTCTTAAACCTTCTTCTCCTCTTCCTGTTTTAAAGACCATTGTTCCCTTCAAACAGATATAGGAACTGGTATATTCGTGTTAGATCAAGGCTCCGTTAGAGAACAGTCATTAGTATAAAAACAACGTAAACAGATATAACAACACAGCTGTTCTCCTTTTCATGTATCTGTATTTCTCATCTTGGGAAAATGTCAATATTTTTTTCTGGGGGAGGTCATGGGTTATGAATAGGCAAGATGAGGAGAATTTAAGATTAATCACTACTGGGAATTAAACTAAATGTAAATACTTCTGCTACAAGATTGAAACCAATCATTTCTGAATTTTTTTTTTTTTAATAACCGCGCTAAGTTAGTGATTAGCTTGTTAGAGAATTAAAGAAATTTGAAAGTTGTTTTACTTCGTGTAGTTATATTCGTCACATCTTAAATATTATGTTAAGAGTATTATAGGGAAACAAACGACTTCATTAATTTGATTCACTTGTCGTTTGTATAAATAATATTATTGGATTATTGTATTAAGTTATTTTCTATATTTTTGTAAGAAAAAGACGTTAAGTAAATGTTAGGAAGAATTATGCTTTTTTAAAACTTATTGGTTATAACGTTTTTGAAGACTATTATATAAGTTTCAGCTAGCTGTTCAAGTTAGATACTTATTTGTTATGTATTTAGTTTCCCAAGCGTTACTTCGCGTTAATATTTTTTAACGTTCATTTTGTTTTAACAGGGAAAACAAATTTAATTCAGTTTGAATTTGTTTAGATAAAATCGCCACCTACCACAAGTAGTAAGATATTACTTAGCAAAGAATGATGAAACAGCGAACGAAAGAAAAAGAACAAAATAAGTATGAAAATATGAGTCCAGTCAGTGGAGGCAAATGAGTCGTCAGTGACTAAAACGTAGTTGAGAATGTCAACGGAGGGGGTTAGTGAATGTTCAAAAGGCAAAAGAAACGTTAATCGGTCATCAGTGAAACTGTCCGAAGTCAAGGGACCTCGAAATTGTTTTCAGAGTCAGAAAGTAACGAGAGTATAAACGAGCAAAAAGGACGAATGGAATATTAGACAAGATCATTCACCCAAAGCTTAAATCAAAATTACAAAGAAGAGTTTAAAGGTTAGGTTAGGTAGCCTTTCCCATCACCTCGAACGCCGCCAAATCTTTTGGTCGTGTGCAGCGAAAGGCGTTATCAGATTGAAGATGTCAGAGTGATTTAATAATGTCACTGTTTTAAAGGGTTTAGTCAAGTTCGATGATTAGAATTTCCGAGTAAAAGAGTTAAGGAGTGTTTACTTTTGGCTTATAACGCGAGTGTTTAAAACATCTTATCATGATTGGCGTGAGCAACTTCAGACTACGTTTACAAGAGAGCAAAAGTTAGCGAATTCTTCAGGTATCTGGAAAATCCTGGCCTCGGATTCGCCGGGTTTTTCTTTATTTTCTTGGTTTTGTTTCAGTGATTGTTTGTTTTTTCAGATGGGTGCTTTTATTTGTCATATTGAAATTCGGGAATCAAAAGAAAATTTTACGCTGAAATGTTTGTGGTAACCAGCTTTGTAATAAATGCGGTCGCGTATCAAATATAGTTAACAATAACAGCACGTGATTACCCTTCAATCGCTAACTTTATGAAATTCACCAAACTTGTCTCCCGAAACCTTTATGGCATTGTAAAAAAAAAAAAAAATAGGACAATGGTGATCATAACATAAGACGAAATAAGGGACTACTCAAATCCAGGAATTACTGGTCTCAGATCTATCAATTACTTTATCAGTCCGCTCCAATGTAGTAGGTTCCGTGTTAAACGGTATACGTGCAACTACAAAAAGAATAATAAAGAGTTATCTTAATTCGTCGGCATCGTACTGTGTCTTGTAGTATAACCGCATAAAGGTGGGGCAACAAAAAGGCTGGTTTTTTTTTTTTTCTCAATTCTGATTTCATCTTCTGACAGGGAACTTTTCTCGCGAATATGAAACTATTATAAAATCAAATTTTCATTTCATCGGCCTATTCAGACTGGCCTTTCTTGAGCAGCATAAAACAGTGATGACAAGTTCCACTACCATTTGCTGTCATTCTGGTATGTTTGGTCTTATAACTTGGAAGCTGATCGGTACAGACTCTTTTAACCATGTATGCATGAATTGGGGGGACCTTACCATGGCAATGGCGAAGAAAAGAAATTGTGCCAACAATAATTTTAATGCTTACCGCGAAGTACACAAACTGGGCTATAAGAGATAACAGGAAGGAGACGGGAATATTACAGTCCCAAGAAACGCATGTTACCCACCCTCACCACATTCGTTTTGTCTGCCGAGGCATGAGCCAGTGCTCATTCAAATTCATTTATATCATACTCCTGAGAGGACAGGCAATCACACGTGGAAGCTAGTTTGCGCAAGCTAAAATAATGACCATGGTTCAACTCTCTACCTCTGGGGATCGAGCCCTATACATTAGAGAACTTGAATTTTCATTCTTTTTCAAGGGAAGTTCTTCCCTGCACGCAACCAAACGAATTCTCTTGGCTATACCTACGCGTTATGTAACTACCGCACAAAAAGAGAAAGGTTAGCAGCAAAATTTCACAAACGGATCCGTACGGTTGACGCCTTGGCGCGCGTTAACTTGCGAGACGGAACGGACAAGAGAAGGAACAATTTAATGATTTTACTAAGGGCACCCGAATACCGCGCGACTTTTGCTCTCGTGTCAACGTACTCCGTGAGGGATCTGAGCAAGGCGGACAAACGAGAGTTCATACCTCCAACTTAAACTGGCGGCCATACTGAGGGGAGGGGAAAGGTGACAGCTGTTTCGACACTGGTCCAAGTCCTCTAATAAACGGTTTAACAGAAACTTTGCGCGGGTAAGTCCACTCCCCTGAGGTGCTTGACAACTAAAGTGGCGACACAAATCAACATGTTAACCAGCTGTTTGATCAACGGCCAATATTCGTCTCTGCTAAAAGAAACCTTCGTCATTGTTATTCCGCGTTCACGTGATGATAAAATACTGTTTCCGAGGTTAAAGCCTGTTAAACGGTTTTGGGGAAGCAAAGATTGTCTACGTCCCATGCAAAGCGATAAGTTTGCAAAGAAACTACTCTGTCGCATCCGCAGGAAAGTGAAATACTTATCCATCGGCCTTCAACCCTACTTAAAAGTTGTGGTGGAAATATTGTCGTTTTGTCCTCCATTTATACGCAGTAAGCAACGAATGTTCAGTGTTAAACAAAATAAAACACTGTGACTTCAAACTCAAAAGCGTGTGTGAAATCAAACCACTGGCATGTTGTACGCGGCTGCATGAGTGTTGTGATTGGGTGGTTTAAAGGCACATGCATACTAGCCTAGACGCTATGTATGTGCATTAATATTTCTTACCTCCTCTTTGTAGTGTCGCCCGCTAACTCACCAAACGTCTGCGTATCTGGAGAAACAAGAGAAGTGATAATTCATATTTCGTGCACGAATAACGTACTGGAAAATGTAGTCGATTTTGGTTGGAGAAAAATTGGTGGAAAGTCGTACAAAGGATGCAGGATCATTTCCAAAGTCGGCCTAAATAATAAACCTAGAGGTAATTCAAGATTGCCGAAATACAAGATCCTTCGAAAAGTTTCGAAGTTTGCCGAAGGCTACCGAACAAGTCGATCGATGACGCTTGATGAATCCAAGCCCTTAAGTAATTACTGTATGCGTATAAATACCTACACGAATAGAAAAATCCCCTCCCCTAAAGAGACTTTCGTGTATTTTGCGGGACCATTAGTACCTTTCGCATTACCAAATCAAGAGCCAATAAGGCTAAAGGTAGCAAAGCAAACGCATCTTGAAGCTAACAATTGATGGCGTCTCGCGTCGTGGCCGAACCATGAGAGATCGCGAAAAACATGTCATTTCTAAATCAAAAATATAATCCACACCTTCGTTTTCCCAGCTCAGAAAGCTGTTGGTGGACTTGCTATCGGTTCGCACTCGGTATCTGTATTCAACATGGAATATCATTGGTTCACAGCTGCCTCTCTCGTGTCCTCTTCGCTTGACATTCTGTACAAACAGCCCGTCTATGTTACCTACAGGCTCGTACCGTGCCACCACTACAGTCACGCCTTCCGCCCCAGTCGCTTTACCCACGCCAAACTTACGACTGCTCAGCCACACCAGCTGGCTAAAGTCAAGTGTCTCGTTACTGAATCCGGGACTGTCGAAATCGTAGTTCAAGATTTCTTTGTACCAGAGCTCAGAGACCTGGGAAGAGTAAGGGAAAAAAATGGTTTTCGTTATCTTAATATATACGCACGACCTGATCACGGGATCAGGTTTAACAAGTGGTCAGATCGTGCATCTCCAAACGGAGGCAACGGCGTCGCTTAGATCAGAATGATGTTCAAGCTGTTATTTTCTAATGCAGTTTAATAGTTTTTCCTCCATAAGGAGCTACAATGTTTTGAGGCGTGTCTAATGATAAGCACTCAATTACAAGCCGTTAAACACATTTCATTTATGCTGTTTTGTTTTTGCGCTGAATTTCCATCGACAGCAAGTGCTGCGCAGCTAATACGATTGCACGTTCGCCAATAGTCAGCCAGTGCAACAGTGACGAACAATTCCCTAAGACCCGTGTTCTACAGTATTCTATTACCTTAATCCCACTGATGTGCGCCTTGTCTAGCACCGCCACACTGATCCCTATCCGCGAGTTATCCAGTCCCTCCATGGCGCCCGTCACAAGCAGCCGCTCGGCCCAGTACTGCGCCTCATCTGTTAGGGCACTGCTGAGAACTAGCGGTGGAGAGCCATGGCGGGCTCTGAAGTAGTTGTGTGTCACAAGGCATTCCAGGCGAAAACTTTCTAAATCTAACGGAAAATACAGAATCAGATCCTAGACCCACACAGGCCGTCGAAATCTAACGTTTCATTGAGATTTGGATCCACATAATTGTAAATTTTCGGATTCGTATTGATTTTATCAGTACGAATGCCACGTTCCACGCCATCTTCTAGTCCTTTGGAAAGATCATGCTGCTTAGCAACCTCTCTGGTAAAAGAGAAAAGGGTTCTCATCAGAGAAGGGACTCTCGTCCAAAATGAGACCAGTTTTTCTTTTACTGTATACCACTGTATTCAGTGAGACTTATTCTATTATTGTACCGACAAATTCTCAGAAGTAACCTCAAACGAAATGTGTGGTCGTCAGAAATGAGAATTTGTATTTTGAGCTTATGATTGAAGGGGTTGAAACTGAAAGGGACTGGAAGTTACCACTCACCAGGAGCGGGCGGTACAAAGCCCTTTAGTTCTTTACTCTTTCTCTCTCTAACAGCCGACCCCATACGAAGAACGTTATCAGCAAATGACCCCTCCATGTTCCCAGGAGGCTCATAAAATGCTACCACCACGCAGAGATCTCCATCAATGGCCCTACCGACTCCGAGGGACTCTGAAGCGACCCAAACGACCTGCCAAAAAAACCCCAAAATTTGTTAGAATTCAATGCGGCAAATATACGTGCTGTAAGAAGGTATCTTTACTCAAATGTAGGAGTGGTGATCTTACTTTATTTTATGACAAAAAGAAGGGTAGAATAAAAAATAAATAAATAAATAAAAAGTTGCGGAAACACTCCAGAAACGCTTTCAGATCACTGCTGAAGAACAGTGAGCCTTCATGCCAATTTACGGAAGTTCCACTTGGAGCACATTATATTCCCTAAGGAAAGATTTAGAGAATGTGACATTACCTGCGTGAAATTTGACGTATCTTCGCTATACCCTGCGCTGTCAAAGTCATAATCTTCTATTTCATCATACCACATGTCCGTCGTCTCCCGGCCAGAAAGCTCGCCGCCCATCATTCCCGCCAAATTCTCACCCACTGTGTCGTCATCGTTGTGCCGGAGCTCGCCACTTCGCGCCAAGTTCTCGGCCCACTGCTGTGCTTCCCATGCGAGCTCCGCTGACCAGTGCAAGGGAGCCGCTCCATGTCTGAGCCTGTACTCGTTGTGCACCGAGAGACATTCCTCATGAAACTCTTTAAGTCCTGGGTCAACGAGTGAAATTAATTGGTTGCGAAAGCTGGTTAGAAAATAGTTTGGTAAGATGTTTATTTACAAGATGTCACCCGATAAACATTGAACTAAATACATGTTTTCTCTCGGTAAACCTTGAAACAAAGTGTACTAGTCAGTACCGATTAAGGTGGCTCCCTATAGTTTTACGATCGCACGAGCGCTGAGGAAGTAATCTGCGCGCGCTCAAAGGAAACGTCAGTGTTTTTCGATATTTTATTACGTCAACATGAGCACAAAAAAGCAAAACTGACAGTGAGTTTTCTCGCGTTTCCTTCGGTGAAATTCCGTTAAATTTGGCAGATTGGTAGTAAATATTTTATTTTAGTCGGAGCTCGTTTTTCAGGGAAATCTATAAGACCAGATTTTTTGCAGCGGTAAAAGACATAAATTTGAAAATATCGAAAAAACTGCCTCTACAAAACCTTACTTTTTTCGTGTTTAAAATTCGTATCCCGCTGGAAGCGATGTGATGTAAACATTTTGGAAGATTTCACCGTAGGAAATTCATGAAAATCACAAATAAAGCCATAAAAACAGTAAAAAATACATTTGTTTGAGCATTTAAAATTCAAGACTAAATCCCAAAATTTTAACAGAGATGATAGCAAAATACTATTTAATCATTGTTTATTATATGTATTAAGTTTGAGAGGACTAGGTGTGAAAAGCGAATGCGAAACAGCATTCAAAACATAACACTTGCGCGCGCAACGCCATAAATGATTATCCTATGGAGACACCTTAAACTCAATAAGAAAAATAATGAGATGTACATATACTATCATTTGAGAATCTATTTCGTGGTTCAAGTAAAGTCATTATCACAAGCAACTCGAACTACCACAAACATTTCTTATCGAGCGGTTGAAAATTGAGCACACGAAGAGAGACGTCTGTTGTCATTAAAAATTAGTTGCCATGTCATTTTTTAACGGCAAAAAATAGAAACCTGCTTTCGCGTACGTGCTATAAGCAATGTGTCAGCGGATCTTTGTTTATTTCCTCGTTAGGGTAAGTTATATTTAACTTGACTGACATAAACAGTTGATGAATTGATCAACACTGTAGTATTTAATGGATGGGTAATGCTTAAAAAGAATTCAGTATAGTCATTTTTTTTATACCCGTTTTCTCTTATAACTTAACTGTGAAGCCGCAAATTCATTCTCTTCCCTATATCCCCGCATACACAGTATCAAAAATAATCAACATTTCCCAAAACTTGCTAATGTAATTTTATTCGCGCAAATACCACACAAAAATTTTTAATAATGAATGGTTTTAACAGAAACAATGACGCCAGTGTAGTGGCTCGTTTCCAAATCAATTGTGTGCGTGGGGTTTTTATTTTTAATTTTTTAGACTCAAAGTGGGAGAATTTCACAGTGTTTACGTTCGGGATAAGCTGCGGCAGTTAAACTTCAAAACGACTGCACCGATTGAATAGAAGTTTCGATAAAAATTAAGCTCAAGATGTAACAGCACTAAGCTGCTTTGTCGTATAATTGCATATTCAGTTCCACTTACAGCAGGTACAGGTGGTATAAAGAATTGAGCCCGAATCCAACCTTTGTTTTTAACCGCTGTAGAGATGAAATATCTATGGCGCCATGTTTCTGATTAGGAATAATTTTTCGCGAAAATAAGGGAAAAGACTACAGAAACGTGTCGTTAGTTTTGCAACATGTTCCTTTCCTCAAAAAAAAAACATAGGCACGCAAGGCGTGCAAGAGTTATATTTTTGTGAACTATAAGTCTCGGAGATAGGAGCATTCATGGAACTGTTTACAGTACTGATTTGGTTGATTTGACAAGTTTTTTTGGTTGCGATGTACAG